AAGGTTTCTGGTTCAATTCCTGGTCGGGACACATGCTTGGGTTGCGGGCATGAGAGAGGCAACCAACTGATGTTTCTCTCTGACATTGATGTCTCTCTCCCTCTCTATCTCCCTCTCCCTCTCTCTTAAAATAAATAAATAAAATCTTTTAAAAAATAAATAAAAGAAATACCCAGGGCCTCCTTGTTTTTAGGATATCATGAAATATTTTACATTCATTAGTCTTATAACATATTCTTATTGGCATGGCTTTTCGCTATTAGGAAGAACCTTTAATCATATGCAATCGTTATCCTAAGTATTAACTAATTATTAATAAGAAAGGAAAGCCAAGAAAAATAGACACTCAGCTTAATAAACTGGGGAACATACACTTGCTTGCTTTACCAGAAAGCTACAGCTTCACACTTCTGGGGATGACAGCATTGCTACACCGAGGGGGTTAACACTCTTCCTTTCCCTGCTTCCAGTACTGGATTGGTAGGAGGCACAGGGGGAGGTGCTTGACCAAAGTGGCCTGTAAGTCTTACCAGGGGGTGTGAACCCATCCAAAGCCCACACAAAGTAGGGAAGTTGATTGATTCTTTTGAAAATGCTCCTGGTCCTTCCCAAACCCAAGCTAATATAATCCCAGGTGAACAAAGAAGCTTGCTCTTCTCTCTCGCTCTCCCCCACACCCCCTGCCTCCCTCCCTCCCTTGTGTTTTGCATATCTTTTTTTAATAACTCCTGTTTCTATCTCAGTACTCTAACCACTGTAACAGATTTTCTTGGATTGCATTCAATCTCCATTTTCAAAAAATTACTTGACATTTTAATGATTTGGAATTGTCAAATTATTTTTATTGAATTTATTGGGGTTACATTGGTTAATAAAATTACATAGGTTCAAGTTGTATAATTCTATAATATATCATCTGCATATCGTATTGTGTGTTCACTACCGCAAGTCATGTCTTTTTGCATCACCATTTACCCCCCTTTACCCTTTTTGTCTTCCCCCCACCCCCATTTCCCTCCCGTTCCCTATACTCAATTCAAATACACTAAGGCAAGCATCCTTAGATTTCTTTTCTGAAGAAGGCCTTTCCATTGGAATCTCTTAGGAAGGAAAGGGGAAGGTCAAAGGCTCTTCTGGAGTCTTGTTTCCCGGTGACCAGCTTAAAATCAATCTCAAAAGGCAGTTTTTGGGGTGGCAAAAGCTTGGTTCCCTTCACCTGTTTTCCCTTTGTCACCAGCTTTTTTAGTCCTTTAAACATGTCTAGAAGTAGACATCCAAAAAGTCTACTAGAAATCATTTTACTTATTTCTTCAATGTAATCCTTTCCTCGGTGTTTAGAAAGTCTAGCCATTATTTGAGCTTCCACTAGCTAAGTATGAAGTAGGACTTCTGATATCTAGTTCACATGGCAAATTATTTTTAAAGCATTATTTTAAAATTTTTTACAAGATTTATTTATTTATTTTTAAAGAAAGGGGAAAGGAGGGAGAAAGAGAGGGAGAGAAACATCAATGTGTGGTTGCCTCTTGTGCACCCCCTACTGGGGACCCAGCTTGCAACCCAGGGACATGCCCTGACTGGGAATCAAACTGGCGACATTTTGGTTTGCCAGCCGGCACTCAGTCCATTGAGCCACACCAGCCAGAGCTCACATAGAAAAATTTATAGTAAATAGATAGAATTTACATTTTTATTTTAAGTGAATTCAGAAGAGAAGAGTGGCAAGTCTGGGATGGATATTTAGCATATCTCTCCTTAACACCCAAGTCTCCATAACAGGATATAATTCATACTTTATTATAATGAGGAATAAAACTTAACCTTATTTGTAATATATGACTTTTCCAGTCAGAGTAACCACTTTGATTTTTACACATAAGTCCTGCCAACTATGCTGTCTTGGAAATTTAAGCAAAGATGAATGCCCATTTCATCCATGATATATAATCAACATTATTCTCCATGAAGTTTCCAGAAGATTAAAAAATGACACATATAATGTGCTATTTATCTTTAGAATTACTATCATGTAAAATATCTTGTCATTATGTGTTTTTGTCTAACCTTAAAGTAACTACATAATCATGCACAGTTGAAAAATTTGGTTAAAAACAACTTACAGTAATGGCCTTTATATAGCCATTATTTGATAATAGAAACTGGACAAGAGAATTTGGAGGTAAAAAAGACATGAGACCTATTAACAGGAGAAAATTTATTATGTATAAACATATGGGAGTTATAGGAACATGAGGCCTGAGGACGCATTGGGCAGTTGAGGGTTATAGGTTCCTCTCTGTCTGCCACACGTCAGTTTTATTATGCTAAGGTGATAGCTACCTTTCTTAAAGCAGATTTTTCTATTTGAATTCTTTTAAGCAGGTAGAGGGAGGGAGGTTCAAAGTATCTTTCTGAGTCTTTCTGTTACAGGAAAAACTCGATTCTTCTTATGCAGTAAAGAATTACAGATCAGCAGTCTACTAGCATGCAAGCAAAGTTTATTAGTGATAAGTTCTCATGGGAGAGAATGAGCCTAGCCAAGACGGCGGTGAAAGGCGTAGGCTTGGGTGGCAAAAAGCATCAGGTCCTGTCTTGAAGACTTACATAGTTTGTGAGGATGGGGGTGAGGGAGTTACATATTGATTGGTGGGTAAAGGTGGTGCCGGCCATGGGGGGCTGGGGTGGGACACATGGCTACCTAAATGTAGGTATTTGTGGAGGGTTTTTAACCCAGATTCTTACCATGCTCCAGACCACCTTTTGTCATCATTCATAAAACAGATAGGTGACTGGAGGCAGTTAATTCAAGTTAGGGCAAGTAACCAAAGTTATTTATGGGTTTTTCATTGAGCACGGTGGACCCTTTTAAAACAGATAGTGACCAGAGGCAGGCAATTAACCAAAGCTGTTTTATGGGCCTTTTCTTTAAGTGCTGTGGACCACCTCCTACCTTCCTCCTGCATTTTCTTAACTTCTATGTAACATTTTGTTTCTTAAAAATAACCAGCATAAAATAATCAAAATCCCATAAGGCATATATTGGGGTGGCAAACTCTGCTTCCCTTCAACTTCATCTAAAATTTACACTTAGAGTAGGTAAAAATGTGGGCAACCAATCAAGGAGGCTTAACTATAGTTACTAAGGGCAGTGGCTTGAGCTTAGTGAAACCCTTCTTTAGCTGATGAAAGTACCAACAGAACAGAGAAGCAAAATTTTCCTTCATTTGATTTAAACCACTGTATCTTTAGAGTCTACATAGAAGTCAGGCTTCTATGGGAGAGGGAACAAAATTGAGAAAACAATTTTGAGACCTCTTTGGGGTTTCCAATTTTTGCAGCATGGCTTTGCGTGGACACTGGTCTTGGTTTAGTCAAGTTCCTTGACCAGCTGTCATCCTTTCAGAACTGTAAAACCGCCCTGTATAGGGGCTCAAGGACATGGGCCAGACTTGTATTATGATATCATAGTAGTGCTAAATATAAAAATCCAGCTAGTTCTTACTTGTTTAAGCCAAAATTTATAGACTTTTGAAAATGATGCAGATGCTTTTATCAGCTTGTAAGAATTTGCAAAGAGTAATCATCAACACCACCACTTGTACTATTTTCAACTTTCGACAACCACAATTCCAAGAAATTTTCAAACTGGTCTTTATATTCAGGGCAATGTTAAATGGAAGTAATAATAACTTAGTTATCATCTTGATACTGTGTGAATCTTTTAAAACAGTTATGGAAAAGGTTTTACAAAGATATTAGGTTTTTGAAGGATGAGTAACCGCTTTGTGGAAATGAAAATACGAGAAAAAAAATATATATAAATTCCATCTAGTTTTTAAAATAAGAAACAAAAATAAAAGCCATTTCTTCAGTGCTTGGCTCCAAATTAATAAAGGTCTGTAGAAGAAGTGTGATACGGTTATGATTAGAGGTAGATTAAAGTAGGGAAATACCACTCACCTAATATGGTTTTTTAAAAAGATCTCTTTCTTTCTTTGTTCTTTAGAGGGGAAGGGAGGGAAAAAGAGAGGGAGAGAAATATCAATGTGTAGTTACCTCTTGAGGGGCCCCTCCTGGGGATTGGGCTCGCAACCTGGGCATGTGCCCTGACTGGGAACTGAACCAGTGATTCTTTGGTTCACAGGCCAGCTGCTTAATCCATTGAGCCACACTAGCCAGGGTTTACCAAGTATATTTTGAAACCTGAAGGCCATTACAGTAGGAGGATGAAGAGAGAGTAGGAACTGGGCACTGTAAATCATGGCCTGTTGGAAAGGTGCTCATCTAGCTATGAAGATGTTTGATGTCAGTCATCTGAGCAGGGCCTTGGTTTCATAAATGAACAAACTAGAGTAGTTAACAAAGTTCAGTGTGTGGTCCCTGGACTACAGCGTTGGAATCACCTGGGACTCTGTTAGTCATTTTCTTAGGCCCTGCCCTAGATCTACTGAAACATAATCTGTATTTTAACAAAAGACACAGAGGATTGCTATTACATTTTTTAGAAGCGCTAGCCTCAAGTCCACTGAGTATGACCCCTAGGGGCCCTCAGCGTGTTCCCATTGAATTCCTCCATTACTGTTGCCTGCTGCTGCTTGAACAGACCCCGCGGGCACACCGCTTCCGCTGCTCTTTAGGCTTAGTCTTGAGAAAAGTCTAGGAAAACGCCCCCGCCAGTGTCTTCTTAAAATTCTGCCAGGTCATGGCAAAGTGAGATGGCTCTGGGATTTGGACTGCTGTGGCATGTTTTCAGGCTATTCTGATGACACCTGTGATCCTGGCGCTCTTTCGCGAGACGCTGGCTTGCTTTCTCAACTCGAATCTCCACCTGGCGCAGCGTGGGCGGCGCCGTGGCGGGCTAGCCTTCTGGAGCGCGCGACGCCCGACGGTTGCCTAGCGACGGCGTAAACGCTAGTCGGGCGTTACCGCTAGTCGGGCGATAACGCTAGTCCTCAGCGGGTTAAGTCCGCTTCAGTTTGCGGGCTACCCAGAGGGCAGAGATGAGTACACGCAGGGCCTCCCTGCTCCCTCGGGATGTGGTGACTCCGAAGGAGTTGCAGCTGCGGATGACTCCTTCGGAGCTGAAGTTTCAGGACACGATGGCGGGGAAGGTGTACCGCCAGTCAATGACTATTCACAATCTTGGCCGCACCAACCAGAAGATCCGGTTTCTCGAGCCGGTCAAGCCACAGGTAACAAACTCGGAAGTGCTCGGAGCAGGACCTCAGGAGGACTGGGGCTCTAACACTGCCTCCCCACTTGGGTGCCCGCATTGTCCTGGGGAGTAGGCACTGGGCTCCTGCGGGGATGGAGGGCTGGACTGGATTTCCTGGGGATCGGTGAGTTAGGTGTCTCTGTGTATACCTGTGCTCGCTTTTTTGTTTTGTTTTGTTTTTTTGTTTATCCTTTTTACTCTGGGTTGGGACACAGGGTGGGGAAATTCGATCTAGAACCTCCCAGTTTCTTTATTCTGCGTATGGAAGGTAGGGAAGGGGGTTCCATGTCTGTCTCTGCTTGGCCCAGAATCTGCGCCTCATGATGCTATAGAGTTAATGACGACAAACCTTTGAGTCATAAAATGCCTGATTACTCCATGTATTATAGGATAGTGGGAAGGTTTATTATTTACATTTTAATAAGTATTTGTTGAGCACCTACTATATAATAGGCAGTAGATGTGAGGAATGCAAGATGGACATAGCCCTTCCCTCTTAGGACTTAGAAACTCAGAGGATGTCAGTAAACAGCTAATCATCAGCAAAATTAATGTTCTGAGAGGCTGTCCCCATCACAAGTTGACACAATTTCATCTTTAGCTTACAGTTAAAGAATGGGTGTGAATGGTTGGTTATTAGTTTACTATGATCACCTGTTATCCGGGAGACTTTTGATACAATAAAGGTAGTAAGAATTTTTGCTATGTAGGTGATGAATAACTGACTTTTTCATGGAATATTCCTAATGATGAGTAATACTGGATTCAGCTGGACTTTTATGTACAGAAATGGAAACGTGTCCATGTTTTTGTGTGTGTTAAACTTACATATATTTGTTTGAATATACATAGAAAAATGGACGGTGGTGATTAGGAGAATGAGGAGAAAAAGGACATTCATGTTCTACCTTTTACACGTTTAAAAAAACTAATGTACTATTTATCTACACTAAAGTGCCCAAATCTTGAAAGTAAAGCTTGAAGAGTTTACACACACACCCACACACCCACACACACACACATACACACCCATCTCATGTAGGCACCACTTGGACCAAATCATAGAATATTTCTACTACTCAAGGAGGTTTTCTACAGTACCTGGACTAATCACCCCTTGGAGATGACCACTGTACTGATTTCTAACACCAAAGATTAGTTTTGCCTGTTCTTGTGTTTCATATAAATGGAAGGAACCACACATTCTTCATTTTTGTATTTCCATGTTTTAACAATAGTAATGTGTGTATTTTGCAACAAGTACATTGCAAGAGACTATTCATTACTCATTACATCAAAAAGTACCTGATTTCTCCAAGTACTATATAATTAGTGGAAAAGTTTATTTCACTACCGTACTACATATTTATTGAACAAGTGAATGTATGTCTGAAAATACTTTCTTTTAAACCTGAAGCTGGCAGTAATCCCAGATGTGGGCAAATGCTATTTAATGGATGTCTCCTGGTTTTTATGCAGACAGAACAATGTTCTAGTTTATTTTACTTTGGTTTGTATTTAGAGTTAAAAAGGAACTGTGTAGACCGCATGTCTTGACTTTGACAAGAGAATGATAGACAGGCTTACTAGTTAAGAGGCCAAAGCCATGAGCCCCTTACGCTGTGAACTTCTCTTTGTTGCAAGACCATGATAGGCACTCTGGATCCTTCATTGGTACAATGGGAAGGAGGGAAGAGATAGATTAGCAGAAAATGCATTACCTGTCTTGGAGGAAAAAGGAAAAACAAGGCGCTATGTAGAGAGCATTGTCATCACCGCTATTATAATTACTTAGAAAATGATTCTATCACATAGTAGTAGTTGTTTTCCACCCTGGCGCAAGATCCTGCATTGTCTATGTAGTGAACACCTACTATGTGTCATATGAAGTGCTATATACCACCTATTGTGGGCTGCTGGTATAGAATAAAGGAGACACTTTTGACAACACAATTCTGACTTGTGTGGCTTCTGGTTTAGTCAGGCCAGTCTTACTCGTAAATAATTGTCCCCTTACTGCCGTGGCTGAGACTTTTTAAAAATTTTTGAACCATGTTTTCATTTCCTCTCCTGCAAGAATCACCCCTTTCCAAATTACACCCATTTTTGAGGGTCATTGTGAGTTGACCGTCTCTTCTAACAAGTCTTCTCTTGTATTATCTTCCAATTATTTCTTCCCTACTGGATACCAATTGCATTTACAGACATTCAGTATAGTTTGGACTTGTGTGCCCATGAATACTGGTAAATCTTAATTTTTATCTTAATGGTCAGTTCAGAAGCTCCTAAAAGCAGGCAGGTGCCTTACACACTTTTGCAGACCACTCAAAGTGCTCAGCAACTTGTAGTTTGACCGTACGCACCTGCTGCCAAAGCCCTGGGTTCCCTTCCTGAAGACAGAGCCTCTTTCAGGGAAGACAGTCAAACCTGATGTGTGGAATGCCAGCATCCAAAGGCCCATCTGAGGAACAGTCTATTGTTTTCTAATTGTTTTGTAATTGCAAGGAGCTTGAGGATTGGAGTGTGATAGTTATGAAGTATCAGAATCATTGTTTGTTGGAGATATAATGCTTTCAGATTGGTGGTTATCAACAAATCACTCCGGTGCTCTATCTCCTTCCTGGCTGTAAAGCACTGCTTAGACTCAGCCTGGCACTGAAATCCCTGAATAATTCATTTTAACATGACTTCCATTGCTGCTGATTGAAGCTCTTTGCTCAGCAGAGGCTAGCTTATTAGCTGCCTGCTGAGAGATTATTTTGCTTATTTTTTTCTCTGTGTCTGAAATACTCCTGCCCCCACAGGGATCACCTTTCATGCTTCTCAACTTTGTAACATCCATCTCTAAGCCTAGGCCAAGTGCACTTCTTTCTTGCCCGCAGTGATCATGTTCTCCCAAGAATTTTCGTGATACTCACGGCTGTGTCACTCATATGACACTTCATTAGTCCCTGACTTACATTATTTAACTCTCAAGGGGCAGATAAGTCTGCTTCCTTAAAGAGATTGTGTATTCACGATAGGAACTCTGTGTAGTTGTGGTGAAAGGACTTAAGTTTTAGAGGCAGGTAGATGTGTGTTTTGAATCCACACTGCCTGAGTGACCTTAGACATCAATTACACTCCACAAGTTCCAGTTTCCTCATCTATGGGCTGAGAGTCATAATATCAGTCTTATGGGACTGTAGAAGCGCATTGAGATGTAGCGTGCTTTACCTATTATAAGTGCTCAACAGATAGCAGTTCTCTTTCCCCCTTAATTTTTTTCCCAGAGTCTAGCAAATATTTGGAAAGAACAGAAGTGTTTTTTTTCCCCTCTTTGGCCTATTTCTTTTTTACATTTCCTGCAAATTATGAAGTAGGAGTTCCCATGCGGAAAGTGCATAAAAAGTTACGTGTGTGTATGTATATATGTATACATTTATGTATATGCATATGCTTGAATGTATTATGCATGTATACATGATTGAGTAACATTTTTATTAGTTTGCTCTTCTTTTTTTCTGTATTTAAGTACCCCACAGCATTTACATATTTCTCAACTGAATGCATTGTCAGTTTCAATTGTCCTACTGTTAAGAGCATATTTGAAGGATCCTAGAACCTGACAGGTGTAAATAGTTATTAAGTCATTGCCTTTAGGGCAGCAATATTGCCTATTTCTTGATATATCTGTTGAAATAATGTACATTCCTAGCTACAGTTGCTCACATGATTTTCTTATTAGGAGTTAAGATGTGTAATTTGATTTTTTTTTCTTCCACTGAAGTTTAAAGTGATTTTGCCCAGTATGGATAAAGAACTTGCTTCAGGACTTCAGATGACAGCTATGGTGGAATATCATCCTAATAAAGATGAAAACACTTTTGACCAACTATGTATTGTAGTAGGAAACAAAGCAGTAGAGATCCCTCTTATTGGGTATGTATTCTTCATATTTCATGCTGACATTTTGAGCACTCTTCAAATAAAAATTAGGGTCAAAGTAATATTCTTTATATTGCCTGACAAACATGGCTTGTTTTATCTATAGTTTCCTTACAACTGAACTTAAAGGGCAAATTTTTAGCAAATTTTGGTTTAAAAGAAATGAAGACTAATTTACTGGTATTTTTTTTATTGAGATAACTTAAAAACATTGAACAATTGCATGTATTCTTTTTTTTCTTGATCTCACATCCTGTTTTATTTCCCCTATATTTTGGTACATTTAGAGAGAAAGACTTAGTAAAGAAAGCTCTATTTGTCTACCAGCAGCAGAATTAATATTGAAATATTAATATGATTTTGGTATTAGACATGTACCTTTTTATTTTTTCCCTTGTGTTTTTTCATTTTTATAAACCACATTTAGATTATTTTGTTTCTCTGTGTTGTTGAGAAGTTCTGATTTTGCACACTGTTCTATTCTGCATAGGAATCAAAACAGTTGATACATGTTAGGAAAGAGACAAGCTATTAAGCTATTACAAATATTTAATTTACATTTTACATTTTATTTTAAGTAAAACCAGTTTGGGCCTATTTTGCACATTGACATACCTATGACCAGCATTCAGATTTGCTTGATTGTGCTGTATATGGAGAGAAGTATTGAAGATGCTTCTGCCTTTGAGAACGGATATTGTCTTAGTCCCATAACATACCCTCTCTCATTGGAGGCCAGCTGCTCGCCAGAGTTGCAACATAAAGACTACACTGCCTCCTTAAAGTGGATGGGCAGGGATGAAGGGAGATGTCCTGACTAAGCTTGCTGCTATGTTTCTATTTTTTAAAAAATTCAGATGATTGCAGGTTCACATGCAATTATAAGAAATAACTCCTAGTATGTTTTCCCCAGTTTCCCCCAATGGCAACATTTTGCAAAACAATAGGATAATACTGAACTAGAAAATTTACATTAAACAATCTACCTATTGAATTCAGATTGCCACAGCTTTACTTAAAATTGTGTGTGTATAGGCTTTTGAGTTCTATCCAATTTTATTACCTGTGTAGGATTTTGTATTCACCACTACAATCAAGATACTGAGCTCAAGGATCCCTCTTGTTACTTTTTTATAACCACCCCCACCTCCCTTCTGCCTCACAAGCACCATCACTAAACTGAAAGCCACTAATCTGTCTTCCATTTGTAAAAATTTTTTCATCTCAAATATGTTGTATAACCTTTGGGGATTGACCTTTTTTTCACAGCAAAACTCTCTGGAGATACAACCAAGTTGTTGAATATATCAATAGTTTGCTTATTTCTTGAGAACTAGACCATGGTATACATATACCACAGTTTGTTTAATCGTTGACCTGTTGAAAGGTTTCAGGGCCGATCCAAATTTTTGGCCATTACAAACAGAGCTGCTCTGAACATTCATGTACAAGTTTTGTGTGAAAATAAATTTTCATTTTCATATGCTGGGTCATATGGTAGTTGCATGTTAAGAAAATTCCAACTTGCTATTCAGAGTGGCTGTACCATTTACATTCCAGTGAGCAGTGTATGAGCAATCTGTTTTCTGCATCTGCACTGGCATTCGTTGCTGTCACTATTTTTAATTTTGACCACTTCAGTACTGGAGTTTCATTTTAGCTTTAATTTGCATTGCCATGTTGCCATGTTACTCCTCCAGTCCTCGGATCCCAAACCAGCCAGCTCTACCTTCTCACCAAGTTTCATCATTCTCCTTCGATTGCCTCGTGTGCCATTTCTAGGGTTAATAGTTGAGTTTAGTGGGAAGGAACACATAAAAATGGATTTATGCAATCTTGTCGGGGAACCAGAAGTTTGTATCATCTGATCTTCCTGAAGTGCTTTACTAGAGAAATATAAAATCAGTAGAGTTTTGAACACTTTCTTTTTCATGTATTCCCAAAAACTATGTCCCTCTTTCATATTTAAAAATTTCAAAGATTGCAAAGATGCAAGTGCTTATGTATATTAAATGTCACTATAAGATAGTTACATGCCTCTTTCAGAGGTGTCCAGTAAAATGGAATAATACAGTGACTTGTTAATTGTTGAAAATTTTACCTCATGTTCTTTCCCTCAAATTTGTATTTGCATTCCATTTCCCACCATAGCATCACACCTTCTTTTATTTAATCAGATGTGGCATCATCCAAACTACTTTACTTCGTTAAGGTCAATTCTACCTTTTTTGAGGAGGGTCAAAAGAATGCGTTTTTTAGGCTTAGGTGGAGATTCCAAAACAGAACTCCAAATGTGTTTTAAGCAGCAAAAATATTGAAACATGTGGGTAGCCTCTCAAGGTGAGTACTTGGGAGGATATACTATGATGCATAAATTCTGTTTTCTTTGTTTAAAATGTATCTTCTTATCTTGTTTTCATGTCTTCATTGCACAGTTCCTTTTACTGACAAATGTGCCACCAGTAAGTAGACCTGTAGATTTAACCACAAGGTTATAATTGTCAAAATTCATTATGTGGTCCTCTTTTCTCCTCTCCTAGGTTGATTCCAACCTGTCAATTGGAAATTGAGCCAGAGGTTGATTTTGGCACTGTGGTTGCCAATAGCAAAGTATATTGTAAAGAGATTAAAATCACTAATCATGGCAAGGTTAAAGGTAAATGCTCATGTCATAAAAATTAACTTATACACCTTTGGAAGAAAGTTGATACAGTTTGAAAAATATGCCTCGTATAATTAGCGTGTTCTCTGATTCACACCTACCCCTGCAGATGTCTATCAGGCCCTTAAGTAGGATGACTGTAAAAGACTGATAGGCAATTATTCAGGAAAGATGACTCCGTCAGCTTATGATTCTGATTAACACACGCTCACTCTCAGATGACTGGTGATGAACTCGGCGATAGAAGGCGGGACGGTGTCATGGAACTGACCCAGTCCTTAGGGTCATCCTGACATGGAAACAGAGCATAGTGACTTACAAGCTGTGTGATCTGGTACAAGCATCTTTTAGGACATTGACCTTGAGACTCCCCATTTATAAATTGGGTGACAAAATACACTGTGCTTAATTATGTACATATGTAAGGTTGTAATATGGTACTTATCATAGATACTCAGTTAAAATTTTTTTCTCTATTGTATTCGACTTTGAATTCACATGATGGTCCCTAGAAAGCTCTTACTAACTCTGTGTTGAAAGAGTAAATGCTTCTCTCTTCTCCAGACTAGATTATTTCCGGACACTTTTGCTGTGACCTAAGGGTTTACATAAAGGCATGTGTGTCTCTGCTTATGCGCACTCTTCATTGCTGGATGCATCAGGCATAAAAAGCACTTGTCCCTTCATTCTCAGTGGATGGTCAGGACCTGGGGTGTCAAGGCTGTCATTTCTGCCAAGCCAGAATGAGGACCAGCTCCACACAGGGCAGACATTTCTCTCTGAGACTGCTTGTTGGATACATAAACTGTCTGACACTAAGTGAGGATGTTCTCTGGGCTGTTTGATTGAGGAGCGGGAATTATTAGGACAAAGGCAGTCTGTCACTTTACTGATTTTTTTTTTTTTTCGGCTGGGATAGAAACAAATAAAACTGATCATTGTTCCTCATGGAATGATGCTCATTTTGCTTTTAACACTTTGGTTTTTAAGTGATTGCATTCCTGGTGCCTGTGGGATTGTAGAATATTAGGCTTATTTGTGGTCTGACCCCAATATTAAAGATAGAGTCTCTCATGGCAAGTGATCGTGGGCTCTATGGTCCTTTAGGCTCTCTGGTTATATTTTACAGCAATGATATGTGATTGGGAGAATATTATTTTTATTATTTTACTTTCCAAAAACCTCTCTTAACAGTTGTCCATAACAAATCCTTCAAAGTTTTGTTCATTTCCTCTCTTTTTCTAAAATCTCACCAAATTGTACAATTTTATTACATATAAAAGCTCTCTGTAAGTAAAGAAATGGTTTTATTTTAATTGAATATTTAATATTATTTTACTTAATAAAATAAATAAAATTAAGCTTCAGATCTGGGACCATATATTTTAGGAAGAGTAATTTACATTGGCTTTTAATATTGTATTAATGTTTTATGTGTGCATAGTATTTGTAGTGAATACTACGTTTGGTAAATTATAATTGAGAACTGTGAAATGCTAATTGCTTTACAAACAAACAAAATATTACCAATGAAACACATTTTCTTAATGTTGACTTTGTCCCTCGTTCTTGGAGTTGAATAATGTTATTTTTCTACCATTACCAAAATTGTTAGTATGTTTTATATTTACAGCAAGTGCCTGCAAAGTGTCATAAAGTCCTTATTACCTACAAGCACAATATATAAATATTCATGAGAATAGCAGTGTATTTTCATGAAGAAAAACACTTATGCAGAAAATAGATTCAGCAACCAAAGATGATTTTAATACATTTTTAAAAAAGAATTTTATGTGCCAAATATTTTATAGTTTTAGAGTCAAAGATCAAATGTTTACAAGTTTATATGTATGCTTAAGGGGACGTAAAAAGCTACACTCAGCAGATTCAAGGTTTGTATGGCTTTGTTTACTCTCTTTGGTAGTGTCACTTTGGTTATTATCTTTGATTTTGTAGACCCCCAAGTTTCTCTCTGTTAACAACTTCATGATGTTTCATTTTTATAGCTCTTTATGAAGTATCCCTCCATGGATTTAGCCAAATGTTGTCGGAACATTTTGTTTTCTGACCCTTTAAAAGAATGTCTCCGAAGTTCACTCCTGACTGTGCAAAGAAGCACTTATCTTTTCATTTTGAAAAGGCACGGTTCAATCTGTAAGATGTCTCTGCTATTAGTACTTTATGAGCTGGTGAACTCCATGTTCTCTCTTATGATTTTATTGTTTCTCAGTTATCTTCAAAGATTGAAAAGAACATTGTTATTTTAGCTTGCCTTGAATTGCAATCATTTACCTCTTACCCTCAGTATTCTTCAATATTTGAGTAGACATTTTCCTACTACAGTGTTATGATGTAGAACAGTCTTTAAAGTCCCTAGTGTGATCTTTGTACACCACTTCTGGGTTTGAATAGCTACCCTAGAACTCATCACCCTTTAGGTTTATTCGGGTCATTTGGCACAAAATATATGACCTTTCTCTTACTCTTAATGCCCACTCTCCCCCTTTTCCTGATTGTCAGTGTCACCTCTCCACTTCACTGTCTAGAAAAGTCTGGCGTCATCTGTCAACCAGAAGATTTATTCAATTGAATCTGACCCACGTGTGGTCCTTGGGATCCTCCCAAACTACCCAGAAGCACCCATTATTTATTTGCAATGCATATTTTCTTGGAAACTGATGCCATGGAATCTCAATATACTTTTCATGCATAATACCATGCTGGACATATAGTAGACATTCAGTAAACCTTTGTTTAATTGATTTGGTTCACTGATCTCAGAGGTTTAGTAAAGAACCATTAAGTTTTCAATGAATGGTGATTTCGGAAGTGACCCATTTAATCACATATGAGCATTCTGAAAGGCTCCAGAACTTAGTCATTTGGAGACAGGTAGAGACTGGTACATCTTTGGTATGCTTAGACCCAAGGAAACTAAAGGGAGAGAAAAGCATACATAGCCAATAAAAATGGCCTCAGGTATGTAACTCTTGGTTTTCAGTAGCATTCGGTAAAACTACAGACAGTTTACTTGTATTTTGGAGGAGTAAAGCCGAGATAACAACGTGTATTTTGCCACCCCATGCCTAAGTTGCTTTTCTGGAAAAGGGAGAGCAACTCTGATTCAAAACACATACATGTTTGTACAAAAGCCCCTTTATCTCAGGGACCACAGCTGTATGTGCTCTCCTAAGTCTCATCAGTGGACAAGTCCATGTGTTTATTTTACATGGCTTATTAACAACATTTGACACAGTTGGCCACTTTGGCTTCTGTGACCCCTGACCCTCCTATATAAAATCATGGTTAATAATAGCTCACGTCCTGCCTTGAGGTCTGAGGTCTTCCAGGTCCCAAATCTTGGTTACAACATTTTCTGGCTGGGAGGCCCTAGGCAAGGAATATATACTTCCTGAACACCTACTGCCTCACTTGTAGAGAAACACCTAGTTCCTGTCCTCTGCAGTTGCGGTGATGATTAATAAAATGCTTAGCACACTGTCTGACATGCATTAAGTCTTCAATAAATACTCACTCTTGATGTTAGAATTATTCCTTTTCTACTGCCTCCCTCTTCAGTTCTCTTTTCGGGACTGCTGTCCATTTTTTGGTACATTAAATGTGTGTGTTGCTTAGGATTTGCCACGGACCCTCATGTTTCCTTAGGCAACATGCTTTTTCTAGGCGATCACTTCCATTCCTGTTGCTTCACTGAAGTATACGCAATACTTTGTATTTCCTTCAGGTTTCTCAAACTTAACATGTCTAAAATCAAACTCCTCGGCTCCTCCCCAAAACTTGTCCTCTTCTCTTTTTCATTAGATGTCACCACCATGTATTTGCGAAAGTCAGAAACTTGGCAAAATCCTTGAGGCTTCCCTTTTTGTCACTTCCTACCCCCTTAGTCAATTATTAAATCCTGCCTATTCACTTCCTGATCATGTCAATAATTCTACTTCTCTCTGTCCCATTGCCACTTCTCCACAAGAGGCCATTGTCATCTCTTGCCTAGTCATTACACCAACCTAAATTATTTCTCTGAAGTCTCTTCTCTCCTTGTAGTTTACTCTGCACATGTTAGTCAGTGTTATATCTAAAAAGAAATGAAAATCAGTGGCAGAATTTCATCTGTAGCATCCTTCCTTCAATGACACTCTTCTCTTAGGGCAATCTCCTTGCTCCTATTGTTAGCAATTAGAAAATACAACAGTCATTCACCAACTGGCTTATTTCACTTAGCATAATATTCTCCTGTTCTATCCATGTTGTCACAAGCCAGTCGGTGAAAGACAAATACCATATGATCTCACCTATAAGTGGGATCTATTCAACAAAATAAACTAACGAACAAAATAAACCACAGGCATGGAAACATGGAGCTGACTGAAAGTGACCAGTGGGGATGGGGTGTCGTGACCCACATGGATTGGTGGTCCCTGGGTGAGAGTGACGGGAGATTAAGAAAGGACAGCACAACACAAAGACACAACACAAGACAGTTTAGAGAAAAGCAGGGGCCGGGTGGGACTTTGTCCTCTGATGGAGAGACAATGACAAGGACCACGGTCTCCGTGTTTATTTTATAGGGGTGGGTTACCTAAAGCTCAAGGGAGTTTTACAGTCTTAAGGGAACCCTGTGGGCATGGATTGTTCCGTCCCCAGGTTATCTACATGATAAAGCTTTCTTCTGCAAAGGCTGCGGTTGTCTTCAGTGCAAGCTTGCGGGTATCTACTCCTTTCTCAACGCCCCCGTCCCCAGGCTGTCGCCAGTTGCTAGCTTGCTCCACCTTGCAGATAACAGGTGGTTGAGTGTGGCCTTGCCAAGCACTTAACCTGGCTTTTGACGTCAGCCTTCACTGTCCCCCACAATGGGGAAAGAGGACAATGGTGGAAAGAAGGGGAAGGCACTAGACAAAGAACATGTATGAATGACCCATGGACATGGACAACAGAGTGGGAATGGACTGTGGGAGCAGGGGGGTAGGGGTGGGATGGGTGGAGGGAGGCAAAGGGGCGAAAATTGAGACAACTGTAATCGAATAAACATGATTTAAAAATTAAAAAAAAAATTGCCATTTGCTACAACAAAAATACAGCAGTCAAATATATCACGATTACTAATGGTATTAAAGTTATATATGACACAATAATGTTTGTGTACTCACAGTTTTCATATATTTAGAAGGCTGAACAATGTTCTTTTGGTTTTAGTATTGTTGCTGAATAAGCTTTTGAAACATTACTCAAACTCCTGACAAATTACTTCAAAGTGGTTACAATATAGGAATGATTATACTCACTCAGCCTTAACTGAACTCATGCAGTTCTCTTTTTTCTGGGGAACTGAGTCAATAATATTTATTTATTTGAAATGGATAGAATTTTATAAATATTTGTTTTACTTTTTGACAGAAAATAAACCTTAAATATTACGCTGTTAGCACTTTCCTAAAAATGATTGGATTAGCAAATGTTGTTAGTGTGAATTTGCCTTTTTCATCAAGTCATTTCTGTACTTAAGTTTTATTGTCCTTTTATATTTTCAGTACTTTTATTATGCTAATATTTTATTCACCTAAGTTAAGCGAGTAATTTTGGAAAATGTCATAAAATGTGATTTAAAATGGTCGAGTTGGGAATTTGCAAAGTTGTTTATGTTGGCAGTATGCTCATTTGTGTTAATATTGTATAATGATATTTCAGAGACGTGTATCTGGCTGCTTCCATTTGTTGTCATATTTTGAGCACAGCTTTGTGCCACGCACTGGATGGGGTGCCAGGACTACAGAGATGGAAAAGATAGTGTCTGATCTCAAGGACTATGTGCTCTAATACAGGCACCAACCAACCATAAATATGAACCATTTCTGCTTTCAGAAGAAACAATTTTATAGCCTCCCTCTCATATGCATTTTGAATTCTAGAAACCCATTCCTTTTGCCCTTTCCCTGTGTGAACTGTATTAATTCATTTATGGAGAAGTGGCAGTGGCTATGAGTCCTATGGTTAGAATCAGCCAGGTGAAAATCCCAGCTCAATTTAGTTACCAGCATTTGTAGTCCACTATTGCTATGTAACAAACCACCGCACAACTCTGTATCTTAAAAGGGCAATGATTTTTAAACTTCTCATCTGTATGCAGGTTGGCTGGAACTTTACTGATCTAAGCTAGAGTCCAGGTGGGTGGCTCTGCTTCAAGCTGAAGCAGCTGGGGCCGTTCTGTTACTCAGCGCAGGTCTGTGACTCAGCTGGGTGGCCATGCTCCATATTTGCTCATCCTGGGGCGCAGGCCAAAGGGCCAGCAGCTCTTCGAGAGATGCATTTTTTTATGGTAGAAGTGCAAGAGAACATCTGGGGTTAGAGCTGGCATGTTGTCACTGCTAGCCTCATGCTATTCGCCAAAGTGAATCACATGATCAAGTTCAAAGTCAAGGAGTAGGAGAACATACTTTGTCCGTGGTAGGGAAATGGTAAAAATGCAGAGAAGGGCGAAGAATTGGGGTCTACCACAACAGTTGTGTGTCTTTGGACAAGTCACTCAATCTTTCTAATCTCCTATTTCCTTATTTATAAATAGAGGTAATGATTGAACCTATGTCATAGAATCATTATGAGGTTTACAAAGAATACCATATGGAAAGCCTTTAGCAAAAGTATCTGAACACCGTAAGCGGACAATCTATTTTAGCTATGGATGAGGGTTGAGTCCTAACACTGGGCTCACATATTTTTGGTGACCCTGGAACCCAGATTTATGATCAAAGCTGTAACTCTCAGTCCTCAATAGACCATATACTCTGTAATATTTGTCTGTCCCCTACTAAGAGTATGAACGTAATATTTTAAGGCTCCAGATAAAAACCATCTGCTTTTGTTCTCCTTAGGTATATTTACCATAGAATACCAGGGCCAATTACCAATTGCCATTTTTCCAACTGATGGTATTGTGGAGCCCATGTCCTCAACGACTGTTAAAGTGGATTTCTGTGCAGACCAGCTCAGAGTTGTAAATGAAGTGGCAAAGTGAGTGTGTACTACGGTTCTTAATTCTAATATAGTACTTAACACTTACCTGTTTTCCTGTTTCACTCTTCAGATATACCTATTGTCTTTGAATGTGGGTTAGCTACTTTTTTTTCCCAGTCAGTATTAATTCATTGAGTCTCTAATATTTGCTAAGCACAAGGGATTAAAAAATGGGAAGAGCCAGAGGATGGCCTATGTGTATACACAATAGTAGCTCCTAATCTGGATTTTGTGGGTGGAGAGAGTGGATCAAATAAAGGCTCCACTAAGGAGGTGATAGTTGAACCAAACACTTATCAGTGAGTGGGAATTAGCCAGACACAGGCAGTGATGTGGTTGGGGCTGAGTGTGTGTGTGTGTGTGTGTGTGTGTGTGTGTGTGTGTGTGTGTGGGAGGTGGGTGTTGGTGACTGGAGTGGGTTAGAGGAGTGATTTCAGGCAGAGCAAGTAGAAGACCTGAACTCCTGGAGGTAAATGGACAGTGTTACACAATGAGACATATGAAGAATGTAGAGGCAAAGAGATGGAAGTAAGGAGTGATGTGAGATCAGACCAGGAAAACCAGTAAAGGACCTCCTAGGACAGTGTTATTTAATGCTGTATGTCTCAGTTCATTAGTGGGATATGCAATCACTATAATGGGGCACTACCAGTATTAAAACAATGAAATGGAATATATCAAAATGCATCTCACCTAGGAAGGGCAAATGTTGATTTATAAAACTTTATGTCTGTGTCTGTGCTTCCTACATGACAATGTAAAATATATTTCTTACTGAAGGTCACAGCCGAAAAAAAAAAAATGTTTGAGAAAGAGTTGTGAGCCCTGATAGGAGCTTAGATTTTATTGTGAAGGCTGTGGAATCTCAGGAAGGTTTTAAGATGGGAGTGTTTTAATTAGTTTGCATTTTAGAAAGGTCATGCTAATAGCTTTGTGCAAAACAAATCAGGCAGTACAGATGTGGAATGGGTAGCCTGACTAGAATCTATAAGTGAAGCAATAGAGGAATGATAAAGGCATCAGCTAAGGTACAAATCGGGAGTGTGGAGAGAATTCTGCAGGTTAGAGGTATGTTATGGAGGTAGATTTGACTAGATTTAGTGGCTGGTTATAGAAAGAGAAGGGGCAGGTCTGCGGGAGAAGATCTGAGTTCAGTTTTGAAATGTTGGAATTGATTTGCTTTGCAGAATACTGGAGCCCCTATTAGATTTACTTATCTCAGGTCCCAGAAAAAGTTCTGGTCTTGGTACATTGGGTTGAAGGTTGTCGATGGATAAATTGTTGATGAAGCATAAGGTATTGAAAATAACTACGAGGAGGGTAGAGTATGAAAGAGTACGAGACAGGTATCATTAATTACAGAGTTTACAAGATATTTAAGTCTTAGAAGAATGAGAACATACAGTCTGAAAAAGTTACAGGAAAACCAGGAGAGTATGGTGTCAAGGAAGCTAAGGAAGGGGGGGTGTGTCAAGAGATGGTAGGAACCATGTTCAGTGTGACAGAGACAGAGTGTATGATAAGGACTTAGGTTGTGGAGTGGTCAGTTGTCTGTGGTATCTGATGGGCTGATACTCAAAAGGACTGCATTTAGGCCAGAGAAGGATAAATTTGGGCTGGGGGCCAGTTTCAATAGGGCATTCAAATTAGTCTGCGAAATGAAGTTTTATGGGGTATATTCATTTCAGCAAAGTGTGGGATTTTGCTGAGATACTTTACTTTGCAGGGCATTGGCTTGTCAGGATGGGGATGATGCCGTACTCCCAATTTGTACCTTGTTGGCTGTTTGACTTGGGGGAGTAGGATGAGTTAGAAAAGAATCTCAAAATTCTAGAACTAGAGGTAACTCCAGTATTTACAAAATAATTCGTGGTATGGACATACCGATAAGTTCTCCTTGGGATCCATTCACACTATTGTTTGCCAACTTTGTTGTCTCCTGGAGACAATGAATTAGGTTGCACATGTCATTTTTTAAAAGATTTTATTTATGTACTCTTAGAAAAAGGGGAAGGGAGGGAGAAAGAGAGGAATGTGTGAAAGACACATCCATCAGCTGCCTCTTGCACACACCCAACTGGGACTTGGCCTGCAACCCAGGCATATTCCCTGATCAGGAATCGAACTGGCAACATTTTAGTTCACAGGCCGGTGCTCAATCCACTGAGCCACACCGGCCAGGGCTGGTTGCACATATGTCAGCTGTGTAGATTCAGACAGAAGGCATGACAGTCTCTGGGAAGAATGTGAAAAGAACTGCTCTTAGGCTTTTGAATTGTAATAATTTTAATTATAATGTGGTTTTATGAAAGTTCTATTTATATAAATATTTAGGACAAAAATAAAGTATATAGAATTCTAATTAAGTGTGTGTGTGTGTGTGTGTGTGTGTGTGTGTGTGTGTGTATAAATAAAATTCATTATCTTATAGAGTGATATTGGAAGGTCATCCAGAAATACTCTTGAATATCAAAGTTCATGTGGTTGAGCAGATTTTTGAGCTGTTAAACGAGAATAATACAAAGGTGGAATGCATATACTTCGGCTCTGCTTACTTTGGAACATCAAAGATTAGACATGCATATCTATACAACAATAGCCCAGCATCTGTAAATTGGGTGGCTATAATACAAAATGATTCAGTTGGAGAAGAATTGGTAAGTAAATAGTGCAACAGAAGATCAAGTATTATGTTTTCAAACAGATTATTTTGAATTTATTTATAACAACAAGCTGGTCTTGTCTTTTCTCCTTCCTCCCCTCCCCTCCCCTCCCCTCCCCTCCCATTCCCTCCCATCTTCCCCGCTCCCCTATCCCCCTCCCCTTCTCTTCCCTTCACTTCTCTTCTTTTTCTTTAGAGCCAGGAAAGATTTTTTGATTGAGAAGACCCAGTTTGAGAAGATGGGAAAACTAATTCTCAAATCCATCTTCCCAACAAGCTGTTTAATTGTTTCATTATTCTAAATATGTTTTAACATGCAGATGGATAAGTTTTCATTTCATGTGTCTTCAAGAGTAACCTGAAAAAGTTCAGCAAATTGAACTAACATTGATAGTGATATATCTGAAGTAAATCAGACAAGTGTTTCTCATAAATCAGTGACTAATTGTGGGGGTTTTTGCTCTCATCAGTTTCTTAAAAGTTCTTTAAATTTTATGATGTACCTTGTTCAAATTTATGTATGAAACTTTAAAGACACATGTGTTCTCTATCTTCTGGTTGCTGGAATTTCTATAATTATTTTATGACCTCTTAAAATATTTTACTTTGTATTTTGCCTTAATACTCTTTTATTTCTGATTTTATATTACAGGGTACGAATATTCAACAAAGAACAGATGTTGCTATAAATAATCTTGCCTACTTAAGACAAATAAGGAACATAGATATTACCACTTTTATGGCCTGTTTTCCTAATGAAGGGAGTTTACTACCTTATGAAAAGATTAAAATTACATTTTGTTTCAGCCCAAAGTAAGCAAAAATTAATTCCTTTGAGATGTTACTTATTAATGAAAAATACATTAACCATACATTCATCAGATTGACTTTAATATTAAAACTTGTCAGGAGGGACAAATTGGCTTTTTCTTATTATGGTTCTAAGTATTTCTAATGTGCTTAATGATATTTCCAATACTTAAAAATATGATTCTAAATACTTCATGTTAAATTAAAAATTTCTCCAGACTCTGGGGCCATGGGGTGGTAGAAGTGGAAGTTTTGGGTTGTTTGGGATTGTTGCTCCAAACCAATCTGTGCAACCAAGACCTTGTTGTCCCTACAGAAGCAGCCAGGTTATGGCCATTGTCAGCAGTAGGTTCTAGGTGCCTCCAGAGAAGATATGGTGCTTCTGCCAGGGAAAAAGTGCTTGCTGACTATCATGAATTTTAAGCCAAAACAGTAGCCGGGATCAACAACAGTGGGTTGCTGAAATTTATACAGACTTTGAGGGCTTTTGCTGATAGATATTTTCACAATTCTTAGTCCTTGGTTTGGTTATTTAGTTTGAAAATATATTTGGAAATGCTATTTTTAAATATGGAGTAGCAATTTCAGCTACACTTGAGAGGTGGTAGTGTGTGGTGATAACTCATCTAATTATAAGTATGTTTACTCTTATTTGTAAGAAGTCTGAAGGGTTAATATCCTACTTTCTAGGGCTATAGGGTCCCTTGGGGACACCAGCTGTTTGCTGAAAACCGACTTGGGTAAGGAAGGGAATACACCAAGTAATTGTTCTATTTGTACAATCTTTACTTGCCTTGTTTCTCATACCTTCATATAGGAAATTTCTTTGGTGAATCTGTAATATTCTGTCTGATACATAATCTTTGAAGTTCTAAGTACTTATTTTTTTTCCATGGCAGCATGGTTACTTTGAGAGTCTAGTATAAACTCACAGATATGAGTATGATTTGAAGTCATAGTTGTATGCTTTCCCAGCATTCTATTTGCATTCTTATGTAATATGTCACATCAGCCTTCTGTGTATGTATTTGAGTACCCACTGCTAGAAAAGCTGACCTCTAGTCAAGGCAAGTGAAGACAGCCCGTGTATAGGCCTGTGATGTAACCTACCTCTGTCTTTGGTCCTGCTTCTCCTCTTCCCATCTTTCCTTGCTTGTTCTCCAAATTAGCTGTTCTCCTCTAACAAGAGTGTGGCTAGCAATATGTGCTTAGTCTATGGGAGGAGCAGTTATGTAACAGAGGTTTGCAATTACACCCAGGGGTAAGAGGAAATATTTAAGAGAATTGAACAGACTGCTTAGCCAGCAATGAACTGTACGTACAAGAAAAAAAAGTAAAGAAAAAAGAAAGACTTTACATAAAAAGTGGCATTAGAGCTGGACCTTGATGACTTAGTGCTTTTAAATAATCCTTGTCTTGCAAATGTTGGCTTGAACTCTTTTTTTTTTTTTTTGGATCTTTACATTTTGTGGCCTTCTTTTGGCAAGTCTCTATGTCTGTGCAGTAATATTGGAAAATGGATCACAGCCATTTTTATTCCTGAACTTTCATCTATTTGCATAGATTTAAGGATTCAGTTGATATTCCCTTGTCAGAGGTAACAAAGTGTATTATCTTTGCTTTAAAAATAACTGATTGTAATTTTTTACAGGCTAACCGGTGATCATACAATGGATGGCGATCCTTCACACAGGCAAGACTATGTTGTCTTTCTGAGATTTGACACTGTAGGAAGTAAGGATGGGTTTTTGAGAGATGATAACACTAAAGCCATCAAAAGTAAGTGTGAAATGAATGTAATCATCAAGTGTACAGCAGTTTAAATTGTTTAAGAGTTTGGACATCAATATTTATAGAGGCAATATAATAAAAATATACAATTATTGAATAGAAGGAAAATGCAAACATAATCAAGAGAACTTAAACTGTCTTTTGTGGCATGTAAAGAAAAAAATCAACCTCATAATCATTTATATAATAATCTTCCAAATGAAACTTAGAAGGCTTTATTATTTTAAAATGACATTAGACAAATGTGATCTAGAGCAGCAATTTTCAACTGGTGTCCCAGAAGAATTCTTAAAACATGCAGTACCTGACTATTTAATCAGGGGCACTGACCTCTTTTTCTTTAGATTGTCAAGTGAAAAAATGACAGGAGCCAACAGAACAATAGCCAGCCAGTGTGCATGAGTAAAAATTATACCTATTGCTTTTGCCAGATTAGCAAAAGATATATTTTTTGGTGTGCTACAGATTTTAGTAATTTGTTTATATGTGCCATGAGATCAAAAAGGTTGAAAATTGCTGATCATAGTTTAAGGAGTGAAAAAACAAATAAAAAACCCCCCCAAACCTGGCCTCTTTTCCTATGTAATTCTGTAATGGAACTACTGGCTTCTATTGCCTGCCACCAAAGAAACCGTGACTCCCAACGCTGGAGTCTTATGAAAAATAAGTAACTATTTATTCAAAAGTTATGCAGGTTCAGAATAATAGCCAAATTCTGTTTTTAAGTCCTAAGGTCCCTTAAATCTTAACACCTATAAACACACACAGTCCTGCCTCCCTTTGTCAAACCAGTCCAGTCAGAAGTACTGTTTCTCAGGAAAAGAAATAGAAGTCTGTATCTTGGCTAGGAGGATTCCCGTTTTAACATTCTGGCTTCTCCTAGTCGTCTGTGTTGGCTTACGCTCCCGCTCTTAATCCAAAACCAGGTGGCCCCTTCTCATGGAAGGCCAGTGAGGGTCCTTCTGCATCCTTTCAAACTGCGTGGCCAAGACCTCATGGCTGCCCCAAGCTTGAGTTTAAATCCTCACCCTGCCCCTCCTCCATAATCCCATCTCCAACTCTTCCCACAGAGGGTTACATCCGCCCTTACTCTGGTCTCTTCCGTCTTTCTCAGCTGCCATTTTTAGTCTGGGCAGGCCTGGCCCCGTGCAGCAGGAACCGCCTTCCTGCTCTCTTGCAGGTGCTGTGGCTGGGGAGCTCCCTGGGGCTGCATGGGGGGGGGGGCGGTTAGAGTCACACCCATCTCCCTGGCTCTGAGCTTGGCAGGCATAGCTATTAGCATTACTAAAACACTGGCCAAGTTCTTTAGATATGCAAAGTATCTCTCAATGGCCCTGCTCTGCTACCCCTTCCCCCAGCTATGTTAGTGGGTTTTTCGGGCTTTTCAGCCTGTTAACAGTCCTAGGTTGTCTCTTAGAGATTGATATGGGAACAAAGGACCCACTACGTCTCTACCAGATCCTCAGCTCTTAGAATCTATATACAGTAACACTCCAAGAACAACACCTAGAGATCTGGTAAATAGGGTACAGTATCCTATTATAGGATATTTATAAGTGCATGTGCTTTGCAGGCCGCATTCAAGATACATTGCATTTTTTACATTCTTGGGTAATACTGGATGGGCTGCAGTGAGCAAAAATGGAAGAAGATTTGGAGGTCAGCTTAACAAGACAGATCAATAGGAAAATAAAGATATAGGCAGGTGAGGGATCAAATCCAGAAAGATGAGCCATGGCAAGTCAAGAATCTAAAAGATTTGCCTGTCAGTACAGTGATACACAGGGAGGGGCAAAAGTAGGTTCACAGTTGTGAATATGCGAAACACAGAGTTTATCCTTGTCTTACTATTTATAAATTACTGTGTTTTCAATGTGAATAACTGTAAACCCATTTTTGCCCCACACTGGAGATTACTGAGCAGGGCTGAACTGTGTTCATAGGGCAGGAATTGATTGCTCTGTTAATATTTATGTCATGGTTTGTGATATTGAGCTCCAAGCTCTGTCTGATAGAACATTTGTTCAAGGATTACAAGTCAATCTAGTTTTGAGTGGCTAGAGATGGAGGTGCTAGCTTTGCCATAAAGGTAATTTAGACTCTAGGATTGGCTAGTAAGAGCATCAGTGCAGAAACATAAACATTTTATTTGGATTCTAGCTACGTTGCTCTCCCTGCAAAACTGTTCTTTCTCCCAATTAGAACGTACAATTCATAGGTCCTATCTTTTTTCTAGTATCTCCAAAAGTTCATGGTTCTGTTATTATCCAGCTTATATTCCCACTGTCCATTATTTTAGTCACCTTTTTCCACATACACGAAAATATCTTGGCCCATCTCCTGTAATGACTGAGTGGAAAATCTCTAATCTCAGCCTACTCTGTGTCTGCACCTGGGAGGCTAATTGTGATGGAGAAAATACAAAACCATCCTGTGAGGTTTCACTTTTTAATCTACAATCACTAACCCAAAGAGGCTGGTTTAAGCTGTTTGCATTCTTCCATTCATTCACATTCTAACAATATGAGATTGATATCACACTTTCTCTTTTCACCTCAAACTTTCAGTACTTCCTCCTTCATCTTAACTCTAAATTTGTAAATACATTAAGTGACCTAGTAGACATTTTCATTTGGACGTCTACCAGGCATCTCAAACTTAACATGTCCAAAACAAGAACTCCTGGCTTCCCCATAGCTTGTCCCTCCTGCATTCTTTCTTGTCTCAAGAAGTGGCAATTCCATCACTTCAGTTGCTCAGGCCAAAAACCTTAGCAGCATCATTGATTATGTGTTTTATTTCCTATTCTATGTGCAATCCATCAACGAGTTTTATTAACTCTACCCTCAAAACTATATCTTAAATCTAACCATTTCTCCCCACCCTTCTACTACTCTTACTCAGACATATTTGGTTCCTTAGGATTTTGGAACATGCCAAGCAAATTCCTATCTTAGAGTCCTTGTCCTTGCTGTTCTAACTGGAATGCACTTTTACTAGATTTTCTTCTAGAGTTTCTTTATATTTTTGCTCCAATGTCTCCCCATCAGAGATGCCTTTTTGGACTTCCCCATATAAAAGAGCAGTCCCAAGATGATGTGCTCTGTCTTGCCATTGTAATGTAGGAAAAATAATTTTCCTTCAACTCTTCTAAGTCCTTGGTTGAAACCCTTTATACTAAAAGACAGATAGATAACAGGAGAAAAAACAAAGAGAAGTTCAATAACTAATGTGTATTTCCAGCATACATGGGAGATATCCAGGAAAACTCAGTAACTCTTTGAAATGCCCAAGCCCCCACCTTAAATACTATCTCCAGCTAAAGACAAAAGAAGATGTTGGGGGTGGGGAGCCATTGTGGCAGCTTCTTTGGCAGAGCCCAGCAAAGGAGGGTAAGGTCATGCAGGTTTAAGCCTCTGCTTCTCCATCCATAAGAGTTCCTTCCAGGTACAGAGAGGGAGACACCATTACAAAGGGATAGTTCCCTTTTAAATGTAAATATCCCTTACAAAACCTAACTTCCAGGTTTCAGAGCTTTTCCTGTGTCTGCTGCTTCCAAAATAATAACCCTTATGCCAAAGAGGCATATTCAGGGGTGACAAATTCTGCTCCCCTTCACCCTATGTTACCTTTCCCCATATCACTTACTGTTTCTGAAATGCCATGTATTTACTTATTTATGTTATTACCAATGTCACCTCACTAGAATGTAAAGTCCATGACAGCAGGGATGTTGTCTGTTTTACTCACTGCTGTTATCCCCAAGGCCTAGAAGAGTACTTGGCACCCAGGAAGCACTCACTGTTTTTGCTGAATGAAAGATTGAATGAGCTACCCAGAGCGCTCATCAAGTCTTTCAGATGACGCTTTTTGGACTGGGCACATATATCATGGATTCCCAAAACACTTCTTATGTTAACAAGCTGCTTTTCTTTTCTTTTTCCTTTTTTTTCTTTTTCTCTTTTAAAGCTGATCGATTTGAGAAATTGGAATTAGCCCTGACGGGCTCGGGACTTCCTGTTGTATTACAGTTTGATTCAGGAAAGATTCTTAATTTTGCACCTTGTTCCATGGGTGAGCAGTCAGAGGTTTCGTTTACTATGGAAAATCTATGCAAATCACTTCCTGTGATATACCACTTTAAAAAAATTGCAAATTTTAGAATTGACCCTGAAAGAGGCAAGGTTGGTGAAGGATGCATGCAGGTAAGATAGTTTTTCTATGGTTTCTATACTGTAAATATTTTAGGGTTTGCTAAAATGCCTTGGAGAGGATTAAAAACTACATTTGTTACACCAGTGTTTCTAAATTCTATCTCTTCTGTGGCCTAGTTATGAATACTTTTGTACTGGTACTCACATGGTATCTATAATTATTTAAGTGCCTTTCATGTGCCCAGAAAAGCATTTGACACTATAGGCAATGTAAAGAAGTGCGAAAAATAGTTACCGCTTCTAAACATTTTTTTTTTTCTGAGAGAGTATTTATTTATCTAGTGCCCAAGAGGTTGGCCCCTAAGCTTAAATATCCAGCACGGAGTCTTGGCACTCGCTGCGTGAGTGGGTGCAGGAATGGGTCCCGCAGCCCTTGTCTAGGCAGTGGGACCCAGGGAAAGCCGTGGGATGCCCCTAGGCCAGTAGCTGCCAGTAGCAACAAAAGGTGAAAAGGAGGTGGGAGGCGGGCACTCATCCCAATCCCAGAGATGCCAGGGGAGAGCACAGTCCTTGGTGTCCATTGCCAGACTGAAGGTTGGCCAAACTGGGGTGCACACATGTGGCAGAAGTGAAGGTCCAGTGCCGTGGGCAGAGACTGTAGCCCAGGTGCCCGCCCCAGTGGCAGCTAACCCGAGACAGGAGAGAGGGGTCATGGCAGTTTTGCCTTCGAGGGGCCCAGGCCTTGTCCTCCTGTGAAGGGAGGTGATATGGGGCAAATGGTCTGAGTACTTGCTAAAGAGGTGAGTTTCTGAGCCTTTCACATGTCCCCTCTCTCGCCTTCAGCCCCCAGTTCTTCAGAGGCTGTTATGGAAGGCATCCCACAGCCACTAGTCCCCAGCATTGTGTGTCTGGGGCACAGTGAGGGCTGGCGGGTCCCGGGGCAGGCTGGCATCAGGAGGGCCTTCATCATCGGATAGGCCAGCATCGGATGGGTAGGAGCTGTCCGAGTGCAGACCGGATGGCAGGTCCAGGCATAGGCTCAGGTACTTACATACCAGGATCCTCATTTAAAGGGCCCACAGTGGCCTTCTGCAGCCCTACCACCTTCTTGTGCAGTCATCTGGGACATAGGCAGCGTGGCTGTTCAGACTGTAGATGCACTCCAGCTGCAGCGAGGAGCAAGCGGGGATTGTGGTGAGCAGACTGCTCAGGCTGCCTGGTGGTGGTGGTGGTGGTGGAAAGGGAACGCGAGACAAAGAGCCTGAGCCGCCCTGGTATCTCCTCCAAGGGCAGCCGAGACTGGCTTGAAGAGCAGCTCAGCCTCTTTCCCTCCATTGCTCCACCCGGTAAAATTTTTTTGAATGCACTAAGGAAATGTAAGACATACACAAACAGGGATTAAGAAGACTGAAAAAATGTGTTAAAAAGATCTGTCACAAAGTGATGTAGAAACTCCAAGGTTAGACTGTTAACTTGCAGCTAGGTGGAAAGGTCTTCCTATGACAGTCACACATGAACCAGAACCAGGTCGCCCGGTGATATCAGGGGCTGCTTTTCTCTTTCTCACTAGTGTACTTGGATAACTCATTCCCACAACCTTTAAACCAGGGCTTGGCTGACTGTGGTTCATAAGCTGAATCTGGCCTGCTGCCTGTTCTTTGAGGTTAACTGTTATTGTAATATACCTGCTCTTGTTCGCCTACTGCCTGTGGCTGCTTCTAAGTCCATTTTTCTCTAATATCTTTTGTTGTGCTTTTAGTATCATATCTAGGTAGTCATAGAATATCTAAAGTCATTAAGATTTATTCCTGTTTTTTCTTAGGAATTGTAGCGTATAGATGAAATGTACTACCATTTTGAATTGTATATATGGTTTTAGTTAGAGATCGAGATTCATTCTTTTACATAGAGATGTTCAGTTATTCTAGAATCTTGGCATACTTAACTAAAACAATCAATTGATTGTGAATATAAGAGTTTATTTGTGACCTCAGAATTGTGTTTTACTTATTTATATTTATCCTTATGCCAGTACCACAGTGTAGTCATTACTGTTGTAGTGATTTTTAAAATTGGGAAATGTGAGTCATCAAAGTTTGCTCTTTGTCAGCAATATTTTTTAGCAATTTGGGACCCTTGAAAATCTACATGAATTTTAGAATAAGTATGCAAATTTCTGCAAACAACAACAGAACAACAGCTGGGATTTGTGATAGGAATTGTATTGAATCTATGTCTTTTTGGGAGTGTCACCATTTTAACAATATTAAATCTTGTAATTCATGAAAATTGGATATCTTTCCATTTATTTATGTCTTTTAAAATTTCTTTTAATGGTGCTTTTTAGTTTTCAGTGCTTAAATCTTGCTATTCTTATAAAAATTTATTCCTAAGTAGTCTATTCTTTTTGATTCTATGCAAATGAGATATATTGTTAATTTTGAATTAATTCAAATTAGTTTTAAAACAAATTTAAAATTTAATTAAATGTTAATTTTCTAAGGTATAGAGATGCATTTGACTTTTGTATTTTGACTTTGTTTCCTGTACCTTAAACTCCTTTATTAGTTCTGATAATTTTTAGTGGGTTCTTTGGCATACAAGATCATGTTGTTTGTAAAAAGGGATAATTTTACATCTTCCTTTCCAACCTGGATGGATTTTATTTATTTTTTCTTACCTAATTGCCCTCATTAGAACCTCCGGTATACTATTAAATAGAAATAACAAGAGAGGATGTTTTTCTTATTCCTAATCTTAGAGGAAAGCTTTTATTTTACTCTTTCACCATTAAGTATGATGTTAGCTGTGGGTATTTCATAGGTTGCCTTTATAAACTTTAGGAAGTCCTCTTTTATTTGAAGTGTTTTTTTTTTTTTTTTTTTGGTGTTTTTAGTGTGAAAATGTGCTTTCTCAGATACATTTTCTGTATCTAGCGATAATGCGGTTTTTATCCTTTATTAATGTGGTATACTATATAAATTGACATTTCAGTGTTAAACCTGGGATAAATCACAATTGTACATAGTGAACAATCCATTGCGTGTGTTGTTAGATTCAGATTGATAGTATTTGTTAGAGGAATTTTGTATATATATATTCGTATGGGACCTTAGTCTATAGATTTCTTGAATGTTTTTGGTTTTGACATTAGAGAATAACTGGTACTATAGAACAAGTTTCAAAGTGATCTTTCCTCCTTAGTTTTTGGAATAGGTTCTGAAGTTCGTGCTAAGTGTTCTTTAAATGTTTGTTGCCATTCACCATCAAAGCCATCTGGTTCTGGGCTTTTCTAAGTCAGAAATTTTTTTCATTTCTAATTCAATCTCTTGTTATCCTAGAGCTATTCAGTTTTTCTATTTCTTCTAGAATGTTTTAAAGAATTTTATGTCTAAGAATTTGTTTATATCATCTAGGTTATCTAATTTGTTGTTATATGATTGTTCATCATCATCCCTCCTGCCTTTTGTTATTGATGTAAAATTGATAGTGATGTCTTCTCTTTCATTCCTGATTTTAATAAATTGAAGGCTTTTTTTTTTTTTTTTTTTTGGCTTGGTGGGTCTACCTAAAGATTTTTAAAATCATTGATCATTTCAAAGACATAATTTCAGATTTTTTTATTTTGTTCTCTTTGATACTCTATTTCATTTATTACCACTTTTGTCTTTATTATTCCTTTTCTTCTTTTCACTTTGGGTTTACTTTGCTCTTTTTTTTCCTATTTCCTGAAGTTGAAGTTTAGGTTATTGATTAAAGGCCTTTTTCTTTTTTAATATCGGTTCTTACAGCTATAAATTTACTTCTGTTACCAAACAAAAGTGGAGTTTGGTTGCCCACTGTAACCAATAGGCAAATTCCGGAGGCAAAGATTGGTGAGGAAGGAAAGAGGTCTTTACTTAAAATACTGCACAATTTGGGAGGGTGGCAGATGCTCTGTCTTCAGGCTCATCTCTTCTGCAAAACACAAACAAAATCCAGCCTTTTTCCAAAAGACTAAATCTCCAAAATGCCCAGAATTCCATTCCATCCCAATCTGTCCTTTGGAGCCCCAGGCAGCTAAGCGAGTAGCTCTCTGGCTTCGGGCTCCTCCCTTTTCGAGTCTGCGTGTGTTGTCCTAGCTGCTTTTTGCAACTCAGCTTCCAGGGCCAGCGGATCCTGCAAATGCTCTGGCCAGCACGTCCACGGGGTGGATCCAATAGAGTGCATCTCTCCCTCCCCTCAGTTTATATCTCCCAGCCCAAACTTCTGCACACTCTGACAGGGTCTGGCCCTCCAACCAATCCTGCCTTTTGCTAAGGCTAGACTGACAGGTCTTTCTCCGGCACAGCACCTATCCCTGCTCCCATGCTGACCTCTACAGTCACCAACAAACTGCGTCCTCTAGTCCTACCCCTCACCCAAGCACCGGAAGGAAGTAGGAAGGCTTTTCCCTCAGCCAATCACCATGCTAGGCATGCACATGCTCAATGAAATGACTTCCTCCTCCTGCCTCTTTACCGGGGGTGGGGTAATCAGTTCTCCTGTGCCACGTGGGAGTGGTATGTGCACAAAGCACTAGTTACCCAGGCAACTTGCCACTGCCCCTGCCATCTCTCCTCTGCTCCCACTGGCACTCCCAGCACTGGCCAGGTTATTGGTATCATAGCCACTGCTTTTGCTGCATTGACAAGTTTTGGTATGTTGTGTTTTAGTTTTCCTTTGCCTCAATGTATTTTCTAAATTCCTGTGAGATTTCTTTGACACATTAGGTACTTAGGAGTTTACAGTTTAATTTCTATATATTTCTGAGTTTCCTACATTTCCTTCTCTTTATTAGTCCTTTTTAACAATTTCTATATTTTATTCATACTCTTGATTTTTGTCAAATGTTGTTTTCATATTTACTTTGTTTTATTGAAGTACAGTAGATATAAAACATTATGTTAGTTCCTTTCCACATATGTTATTATATGTTATTTTATGTTATTAATGTTATTTAATACCAATGTTATCAATGATATCAATGTTATTTCCAATAACATTATATTAGTTATAATGATTAAATATTTGTATATATTTTCAAATGATCACCACAGTAAGGCTACCTAACATCTATTACCATACTTAGTTACCAAAATTTCTTTTTTTGTGATAACTTAAATTTTACATTTTTAGCAACTTTCAAATATGAAATACAGTATTACTAACTATAGTCACCATATTGTCCATTATATCTCCATGACTTATTTTTTTATAACTGGAAATTTGTATCATTGGAACCCTTTCACACATTTTGCCCACCATCCTTCCTCCTTCCATCTTCCACCCTTTGTCTCTGGCAGTCACCAGTAACCTGTTCTCTGTATCTATGAGCTGGTTTTGTTTTTTGCTTTTTTGTAAAGATTCCATTTATAAATGAAATCATAGGCTAGCAATTTTTCTCTGATTTATTTCACTTAGAATAATGCCGTCCAAGTCCATCCATATTGTCACAAATAGCAAGATCTCCTTTTTCATGGCTGAATAATATTCCATGTTTTTTTAATCCATGTTAGTGGACACTTAGGTTGTTTTCCTGTATTGGCAATTACAAATAATGGTGCAGTGAACATGGGGGTGTATATATCTTCTTGAATTAGTGTTTTTATTTTCTTCGGATAAGTACCCAGAATTGGAATTGCTGTATCATATGGTAGTTATATTTTTAATTTTTTGAGAAATATCCAAACTGTGTTTCATAGTGAATGCAGCAATTTCCATTCCCACCAACAGTGCACAGGGGTTCCTTTTTCTGTACATTCTTGCCAACACTTGTTATTACTAGTGTTTTCGATAATAGCCATTCTAATAGGTGTGAGGTGATATTGTGCTCTTGATTTGTAGTTCCCTGATGATCAGTAATAAGCACCTTTTCATGTACCTGTTAACCATCTGTGTGTCTTTGGAAAAATGTCTATGCAGATCTTCTGCCTGTTTTTTAAATTGCTTTGTTTTTGTTTTTTGTTTTTTTGTTTTGCTATTGAGTTGTATGAGTCCTCTATTTATTTTGGATATTAGCCCCTTATTGGATATACGATTTACTCTTATTTCCTCTCATTCAATAGGTTTGCCTTTTTTTTGTTGTTAATGCTTTACTTTGCTGTGTGGAAACTTTTTAGTTAGATATAGTCCCACTAGTTTATTTTTATTTTTATTGTCTTGCTTTTGGTGTCTTCTTTTAATTTTTTAAACATGTTTTCTTTTAGTTCTTTGAACTAAATAGTCAACTTATCATCTTTGTCACCAAGTCCAAGGTTTGGGTTTCCACAGGTACAGTTTATGTTTATTACATCTTTCCTGTGTGCTGGCCATACTTTGCTATTTCTCTGGGTGCCCTATGATTTTTTTTTGTTGAAATCTAAGTATCGTAAATGATATAATTTGGCCACTCTGGAAATCAGCCCCCAGAATTTATTGTCCTTGCTGTTTTCTGTTCTTTTGTTTAATGCCTTTCTTGGCTAATTCTGTAAATGTTGTTTTCTTTGTTGTGTGTAGTGTATGAGGTCTCTGCTGAGCTGATTTAGAGGTTAGCTAATGATTGGGCAGAGATTCTTTTCATTCTCTGTATCAGTAAGTGACATAGCCTTTGCCAAGAGCCTCTAAATGTGTTGGGTGTTTTGTCAGGTAGTTTACCCCTCCTGCTGGCCTTCAGTTCCTCCTTTTACAGGATTTAAAAATCAGCTAGAGGTGAGAAATTGGAGCTTTCTCAAAATTTGCTGGACAGATACACTGTTCTGCACGTATGTGTTGTAATTGAGATTCCCAGGAATGTGTCAGAGCTTTTCAAATACCCTGTGAATAATTCATTTTGTGCTTCTCCCCCCTTTCTCCCCTCCCTCTCCTTCCTCTTCCCCTCCCTCCCTCTCCCCCACCCCCTCCCTTCTTTCCTTCCTCCCTTCTTCCCCTTCCCCCTCCCTCCCTGCCTCCCTCCCTTTCATTCCTTCCTTCCTCCCTCCTTCCCTCCCTCCCTCCCTGCCTCCCTCCCTTCCATTCTTTCCTTCCTCCCTCCCTCCTTCCCTCCCTCCCTTCCTTCCTTTCTTGCTTAAATGGTAATGCTGTAATGTTCAACAATCACCACTGATTTTTTTTGGAGTTGGGGTGCAAAACTGTGGGGAGAGAGTTGTTCACACAGAATGAGCTCTGAGTCCGATCAATTAAAGGCATGCCCTCATAACAGATTTGTCAGCCAGCTTCCAGATATGACAGACAGGGACAGTTCTCTGGGGATGGGTTTTTGGAGAGCTTCAAACCAATTCTTCTCCTTCAGTGGTGGCTAGGCTAATAGTTTCCATAGATGCCATAGTTGCAAGGCTGTTGTTTTTTAAGAAGAGCACAAAACTAGGAACAGAAGGATGGGATTGCAGTAAGTAAAATACCAAATAACCTTTTACCACTTTTTCTTAAATATATACTCCTTGAACTTTTGCAAAGTTTTAGGTAATTTTCAAATATCTGAAAAGTTGATTTTGACATTTATTCTAGTGGTCTTTTTCTGTTTGTAGAGGAATAGAATTCTGGAGATCCTTAATCTACTATTCTGGAAGTGTTTAAGTATCATTCTTCTTGACTTTTTCTTAAATAATTTTCTAATAATATGTATCATAAAGGTTTTTCAGTACTGCCTATGATATTCCTAAAGCACTTTAATATCATCATGATGAACTTGCTCTCCTTAAAATTTTATAAACATTTTTTTTGGAATTGTCTTTTTTTCCCTTCTATCAGTACGGTATTGTTTTCTTAATCCATTTGGGATGCTATAATAAAATAACTTATACTGCATGGTCTATGAACAACAGAAATATTTCTCACAGTTTTGGAGGCTGAAAATCCCACAACAGGGTGCCATGTGGTCAGGCGAGGGCCCTCTTCCTGGTGGCAGAGCCTGTATCCTCACGTGGTAGAAGGGGCTCACGAGCCCCGCAGGGCCGTTTTTATAAGAGCGCTAATTCCATTCAGGAGGTCTTCTGTTCTCATGACCTGTCACATCCCAAAGGCCTCGTCTTCTCATCCTATCATACAGCGCATTAATTAGCTTTAAACATATGAGTTTTGGGGTTTCATAGACATTGAGCCTATAGCAACTGGTTACTTTTCCTTCTTTCTCTCTCTCTTTTTTCTTTTAGAAAGTGACATGTTCATTCATCCCACATCAATTTGGAGTCTTTAAAGTGAAGCAGTTCATAGAGATTATTGGCCTAGTGGCAGATGAAAATTTTCACTGTTTATCACTAAAACCTTTTCATCAAATATACTTAGTCTTCAAAAGTACCTGTGTACTTCCTGCCAAGAAAACTGTGATGAAAATTAATCGTGGTAAGCTATGGTGGACCCTTACCTTTTTTTTTTTTTTAATGCTAATATAAGATTATCTTACTATGCTAATTACTCAGCTGTAGATATCAAATGTGGTCTAATCTACTGGCTCTTACCTTTTGAATGCCTCAAAATCACCTCCAAAGCCTGTTAAAATAGTTATCGCTGGCCTATATCCCAGCATTGATTATTAAGTAGGTCAGTATTGGAGCCCAAATGTTGGCATTTCTGACTTGTTCCCAGCAGGTGCTGATGTTGCCTTTTTGAGGATCACACTTTGAATATACTGGTTTCGTGATCTATAATATTTATTGAATATTTTAATGGTTTTTCTATCTTATTCTACTTTTTGTTTGAGTGTATAATATAAACTGGGTTTGACAATTTTATGAATACTCTTGTTGCTGTTGTTTCATCTTTTTTTTAAGAAGATTGTATTTATTTATTTTTAGAGAGAGGGGTATGGAGGGAAAAAGAGAGGGAGAGAAACATCAGCGTGAGAGAGAAACATCGATTGGTTGCCTCTCTTATGCTCCCTGACCGGGAACCGAACCTGCAACCCAGGCATGTGCCCTGACCAGGAATCAAACCGGCGACCTTTCCCTTTGCGGGATGACACCCATCCAACTGAGCCACACTGGTCAAGGCTGTTGTTTCATCCAGTCCTCAGTTATCTTGTAAATTGAACCATATAAAATTGCTCATATTCAACTCTTTTTAACCTGTACAAATTTGTTTCGTGTAGGCCAACCCAATCCTTCAAGTTACTATGTTTATTTTTATGCATTTATTATTTTGCTCTATTGCTTTGTGTAGGTTCATTTATTCAATGAATGATTTATATTTTCTGAATATGTTTGTTTATTTAGGGATTTAGATTTAATTTAGAACCGATGGTCTCTAGTGTATTAATTAACTCGTGGATGTTATTTAGAGAACTGAAATTCCAAAAAAATATTTAAACTTTATCTTTAATTCTATAAAAGGCATACCCCCTTTGATCAGTAGTCCTACGGAACAGATTATGGGCAAAGATTTGGCAAAATACAAGGAACAGGCACCTGTTACGGTGCTTCCACCAGTAGCAACAACCCTTCACATTGATCAGTTCAGTACAGATTCAGTGACGGAGGTGCTGCTACCCGTTCCCAATGACCAAGCTGCAAGTGCCGGGCCTAGAAAGCAGGATGAACATTCCAGGTAACATGCTATATTAAAAACCTGAAATTTTGAAAGAGTCAGTGATCAACATGATATACAAAGGTCTTACTGTATACTGATGTCACAAGCTAATAATGGTAATAACAATGATGATAGTAATAAAATTTATTATTTCTCTTTTTTTTTTAACACTAGATATGGTTGTTGAATGCTACGGTATTTGCTTGATCTAACCTTTCATCACCTCTACTCTGTTCCTGCCAGGAAGTGAAAGCCTTACCAGATTGTTCTTACAATATGCTATTGACAATTATTGAATAGTAATAGAAATAATCACTTTGTATCAAGTCCTCACAGTGGTTGCATTTGTTATGTGTGTCCGAGAGCTTGAATTTATCCAAGATTTAAAAAAAAAAACATTTAAAATTCTGAAAAACCAGTCATCCTTGTCATTGTTGTGATCATCATCTTTGTTCCATCCCCTCAAAGTCGGGTTTCCAGCAACCTTTCCCAAACTGAACTAAAACGTCTCTAATTAGGACCATAAGTGATGTTAAACCTTTAAACGTTTCTCAAACATTTAGTCAAACCTCAGATAAGCTACTTCTTTATCAACACTTAGTGAGAAGTAACCAAGGCATCCTGACATCTGTACCTGGGCCATTAGATTAGAAGTGGTTTTTACATCTTTGATACTGAAATGGGTTTCTTTTCTGTCTGCTCAGGTGCTATTAGTAGACTATCTAAACTTGATAATGTCCCTCCCTGGGCCTTCTCTCCTTATCTCTTTTCCTTTGGTGAGGCATTTAAGCTCACTTAATTTTATAGCAATTCCATTTGATTTTTAGGCCATACCTGCTTTATTATTCACAGAAAATTCTGGGTTTTTATATAACTTATTTTATCATATTATTTTACAGTTTCATCCAGATCAGGCTTTCTGTCTCTCTTTAATATTTGACAAGTACCATAAAACACAGGTGCATAAAAATCACTCAGATTCCATTTTAAATAAATATATAGAATAAAAAAAGGAAAACGCGTGTCTACATCTGACCCATTGTGCTCCATCCCACCCTGCAGAGGTGGCTGCAGGAAACAATTTTGTAATATGTCCTTTTTAATTTTTTCCTATGCTTAAATAGATCTGTGTAGAGATATAATGTGTGACTTTAATATTAACATTTTCTTTCTGTCTAAATATTAACCAGATGATCTAAAAATATCACAGTTTCTTTGAAGACGCCTAAGTATTTCCTATTTATTCCATGGCCATAATTATTTTTTTCAGTTCACTCTTTTTCACACTAATAGAAATACAAAATTTAGTCTTTATTTTCTCACTAGCAGTAACTTTAAGTAATGACATTTTGTAGTATATTAAATTGTTGGTAATTATGATTGCGATTTTATTTTTAATACACTTTTACCTTTTCAAATTTTCAGAAGAAAGTGCAGTAGGAATTTTTGTCTAGTTTTCGTTTACTGCAGCATGCTCTGTGCTTAGAACAGTGTCGGGTATATAGTAGGCACTCAGTAAATATTTTTTAATAAATAAATGAGTTATAATGTTTTATTTACATAGTAATTTTGTCCCCTGTACTTTGCACATTGAAAATAAATCACCTACTCAAAACTGCGGAGGTATTTGTTGAAGTTCAGTTTTTAAGGAGCTGATAAACACTTAGATGAGATTTAGATCTAGTCCAAGTTGCTTAAGTGACTAATTCTCCAAGAATGCATTCAGGGTAGGGGCCTTTAGATTTCCATGATATTAGGCATTCTCTCTGGTTTAGGTAAGAAGGAAAGTAGATGTTTTTCTTTCTCTCTCTCTCTTTTTTTTTTTTGTTCCAATACATTTGTCTCTATTTTTCTAGTTCTCTATGTAATAATGTCTTGACATATAATAGGATATAAGGGAAAGGACTAGAATCTGTTCTGGTCAACATTCTATGCCCAATCCCTGGCATAGTTCGCACTCAATATTAACACTGATTAAATAAATGCATATATGTAAATATTAACATGGCTTACTGATATTGTAGGACAACTTTCCCAAAGATTCCAAGACAGAAGTATGTGGATCCTGAATATGCATATACTGATTCTGAAATATTAAAAAAGAAAGCACATAATGACTATTACAAAACATACATTGAACATTTAAGAAATGTGCGCCTGCAGAAACAAGCAGAAAGGTAAAGTTCACTTCTTCAAGCGATAGGGAACACAGATCATGGTATCTATAGAGCCAGATTTTTTCCTTTGCTCCTTAGTTTCTTTTTCATGATTTAAATGACTTTTTCATATATGAAAATAGTAAAACCTTAAACTACTTTAACTGCAATGATTTATTTTCTCTCCTTTGATCTGGGAATGTCTTAGGTGGGTTTCCACAGTGCCAGATCCTAAGACAGGGCTGCCAGCATGCGTGATTTTTGGAGAGTGTTCTTTCAGGAGAAACCTGTACAGAATGAGTAGAGGCAGGATAGGGCAAGGGAGGCAACTGATGCCTAGGGTCTCTTGAGCATAAATTATAATACATAGTCAATCCTGCCTTGAGCCAAAGGGGCTTGCCGTTTGTGCTCCATGGCAGTCATTGACTGTGAGCTGTTCCTGGGTGTGGCGTGGTGAGCCTAACTTCTTTGGGGAGGTGTTTGAGAGTGGGGTCTCCTTGGCAGAAAGTAATTTAGTGCAGATTAGTGTGTCGTTCTGCTTTAAGTGGATCTGAGTGGAGCAGCAGCAGCACATGTGATATGGGGACTATTTGGGTTTACAGATGTGTTTTTCAAAAGACGCGGCCTCAATTCATTATTGTTATGGTATCAACAGGAAAGATGAGTATTCACATGACGATAATGACACAGGAGAAGAGCCAAAGTCAGGTCTAAAGTCACCGTCACTCTCACAATCGGAAATAGAAGAGGACCTACCTGTAGTAGAGAGTGAGCCCAAACCTTACCAACTGCTATGTACCAGAAATATAGAATCCAGGGAAGTAGAGGCTGTGGAAAGAAAGGTATGTGCAATATTTTACATTTGATTATGCCATGAGAATTCTTAAATTACCTTTTGCTAATATCGAACAATTAATTTGGGAATCATTTGATTTTTCACAGGTCCTAGATCAACTTAAATCGAACCCATCTACACCTGAGGAAGAACATGACTGCAGCTTAATTTTGACACCAAGGCAAATTCATCAAGTAATTGTTGGTAAGAATTTATAAATACCTACTAATGTCTTTGTTTCTTAACAGACTTATTCAAGTATAATTTATATTCCACTAAATTTACCAGTTTAAAGTATACAAGTCAATGAATTTTAGTAAATTTACAGGATTGTGCAATCATCTCACAAGTCAATTTTAGAATTCAGTCTCCTAACTGTAGACAGTTACTCCCTATTCCCACCCCTGGCCCCACACAACCATTTATCAATTTTCTATAGAATTTCCTGTTGTGAGCATTTTATATAAAAGGAATCATATAATACGTATTCTCTCTTACATTGTTTCTTTTGCATAGCTAATGTTTTGGGGGTTCATCCTTATAGTTGTAGATATAATTTACTTGTTCTTTTTCATATCTAAACAGTGTCTCATTTTATCAGAATACCACATTTTATTTATCCATGTACCAGTTGATGGACATTGAGCTGTTTCCAGTTTGAGGCTATTGTGAATAATGCTGCTATTAATATTCACCTATCATTCTTTGAATGAACATACATTTTCATTTCTTCTTGGTTAGATTCCTAGCAGTGGAATTGCTCGGTTGTATGGTAAATTTCTGTCTAACTTTAAAGAAACTGCCAAAACATTTTCCAAAATGACTGCACCAAGTTACAGTCCCACCAGCAACATATTTTGGCAACACCTTTAGTCTGTTAGGAAACAAGTGACAACACCTCCTTAACCTCTGCAGCGATGTTACGCTGTGTCCCTTTCTAAGTCGCTTTCACCAAGCCTGTTACAGGATGATGATGGTTAAAGAAATACCGGTAATGACTATATTTGTCTGATGAGAGAGTTCTCATTTCATGCTACGCAGGCTTAGGGTGGCCCCGAGGTGTGGGCACAGGATGATGGATCAGTATGGAAGTGCTGATTCTCTCTCTAGAGAAAACCTGGCACGCAAAGCACTGATTACTAACTCTGGTATTAACCCGATTCAAGGAGACATCAAAAGAGGTGCAAGGTCCGAGGCAAAACAGTGGGAGGTGATTAAGTATCATTTACTATGCTTCTGTTTTGTGCCATGCATGTAGATGGGTACCGGCATTATAGTCTCAGGAATGTACCTTTACTATTGGGTGGTAAATGATTTGTATCTTCCAAATTGGTGACCAGCTAGTCAAATGAACAGATCTCTGTGAATGCAAAAGGAACAAAGAAGACACTGTTCAGTGCCTCTTCTACAACTCCTCCACCAACTTCTCTCCCTTCTTTACCTGGGGTCCTGGGCATTTTAATAATGGCCCCCTGGGGACAGGGCCCCTGTCTTTGAGTTTACAAAGTCAGTTGGAGGAAACATATATGGAGGAGGCAGTTTATGAAATTGGCAGGGAGGTGTAGAGGAGGAAACTTTTTTTTTTCCTACCCTTCTGGGTTCTTTGGCTTGTCTAATAATTAAATTGACTTAAGGCAGATAAGCAGGGGAAAAACAAATTTAATTTCATATGTATGGGAGCACCATAAAATATGAGACCCAAGGAAATGTCAGACAGTTGAGGCTTATATACTGTCCTGAGCTAAGGAATTGGATAGGAGCTTGGAGCTTCAAAGGGGAGGAGGGGAATTCACAGGACAAGAAGGCAGATGTTTGCCCAGCTACATGGGTCATTCAGATAGAAGTTATCTCTGGTAATAGTTCTTTCTCCAAGTCAGGCCCCCTGTCTAAGTCCTTTTAGGTAGTCAAGAGGGAGGCAGAAGTTTTCCTTGAGTCTGCTAGGTTTTAATTGCTGTCAGCTCAAAATAATCCACACGCTAAAGTGGCACATTTTGGGGTTAGTTACTCTGTTTCTCCTCAAGGGTCACTCTCATTTTTATACCTTAAAGGTACTTTATGAGCCTATGCACAGAACAGGGAATGGTACTATTGAAGGATATTGTAGTTAAAGAAAATTTTGCTCTATATTTATATTTTTAAACATGGAAATTGTTGTCAAGAGACACAATAGAGGATGCGGAGATTAAGTGAGTCGATTAGTGACAACTGGGATAGGAGCCTGGTTTACATTGGAAGTTATGTGAGGTATTGTTTGCTTCATCGGCATATGTCCAGTCATTTTGGTTTTAAGCTACCAGTTATTGATGCATAAGCCAGTCGTTGTGTTGAACAATTTACAGACATGACTCATTTAATCCTTTAAGCGGCACAACTAATTTACGAGGTAAATACTTTTATTTCCATTTTAGAGGTGAAACACCTTGATCAAATGGCTCAAATATTTAGTATGAGGGAGTGGATTTGAAATTAGGTCTTTTTTAGCCTAACATTCTGTCTTGATTTTCCTTCTCATTCTTTTTTCACAATCTGTATTTTTCTCTACAGTATATCACTCAGATTGTTGGCAACTTCTTTTTTCTCTACCTTGTAGTGTCATTACATCATAATATAGAATTTTGCATCTATTTTCATGAAATATATTAGTCTGCCTTTTTTCTTTGTTTGTTTTTCTTTTTATGTCTTTGTTTTGGCATTAATGTTGGCCTCCTCAATTGAGTTTGGAAAGTTAAGAAATGTTTACTCCTCTGCTATATTCTAGAGGAGATTGAGTAGAATTCTGAGTAATGAGAGTTTGTCTTCAGATGATATTTAATTACAAATTCAATTTCTTTAATAGTTGGATTATTCAGATAATCTACACCATTTTAGGAGAGTTTTAGTAGTTTGTCTCCCCCCCCCCCCCAGAATTAACCCCCTTCATCTAAGATGCCATGTTTATAGGCACAGAATTATTTGTAGCATTCCCAAATTGTCCTTTTAATGTCTGAGTCAGCAGCATCTATAGTGATATAGCCTTTTTAATATTGGAAACATGTTTTTCTTCTTATTTTCCTTTTTTCAGTATTGGTAGAGGTTTATCAGTTATGTTGCTCATTTCAAAGAACAGGCATTTAGCTTCATTCATTTTTCTCTATAGGTTTTCTGTGTTCAATTTCAGTGACTTCTTCTATTGTATTTATCATTTCCTAATGTTTGCTTTGTGTTTTTATTTGGGTAGCTTTTCTTTTTTCTAGTTTCTTGAGGTAGAAGCTTAAATTATTGATTTAGACCTTTTTTCCCCTAACAATCACTTGGTGCTCTAAATGTTTGACTAAGCAGTACTTAAGCTACATCCCACATATTCTTACACATTTTCAGTTTCTCTCAATTCAATATGTTATCTAATTTTCCTTGAAACATGACCTTGGGCTCCTTAGTTACTTAGAAGTGTGTTGTTTACAGTCTAAGATTTTTCTTTTTCTAGTTTAATTCTGTTTAGTCAGAGTACACACATGTATGGATTTGATTGTTTTAAATATTTGAAGATTTGTTAAGTTTGACCCTGGATGTGATCTGTCTTGTTGAAGGTTCATGTGACTTGAAAAGAAGTTATATCCTGCTATTGTTGGATGGAATGTTCTTTAAATGTCAGTTAGATTCCTTTAATTGGTTAATGATATTGTTAGGAAACTATGTAAAGCTAGGAGGAAAACCATTAGAAAGGTTTATAGAATCATCCAGTATTCACATAGGCCAGGAGTAGTGACTGAAAGTTCCTGTCTGGCAGACTGGAAACAAACAAACAAACCTCATAATTCATAGAACATTGGGGCAGATTACTCGGAAGTTCTTGCCTCTGTAGTGAAGAGTAAATGTTACTATTCAGAGCACTACTCTGGATCCAGGTAACTTTTATGAAAGCAAGACCTGGAAGGATCTATCTGATTCAAAATAACTTTCTCCCAGAATAAAGCTCAAGAAAATTTATAGGAGTACAAAAAATACCCAGCACCTCATTTGGTGTAATGTGCTACATCTGACTTTCAATTAAAGACTACTAGGGATGAAATGAATCAGGCAAAACAACATCTAATAACCAGAAAAATTCACCAATTAAGCTTACCCAATACTGATACATATGTTAGAATGATCAGACAAGGGCATTAAAAGAGTTTTTATAATCATCTTCCATATATTCAAAAAGTTATATAGTGATATAGAAAATATGCAAAAATGATCATGTGATCTATAGACTCAACATAGTTTCAGTCAAAATTCCCTAAGTATCTTTTGTAGAAATTGACAGGCTTATTTCAAAATTCACATGGAAATGCAGAAGAATTATAATAGTCAAAACAGTTGTGAAATAGGAAAACAAGTTGGTTTCAAGATGAATTATAAAGCTACAGTAAGCATACATATAGACACGTAGACCGATGAAACATAAGTGAATGTTCAGAAATAGACCTACACATATTGGAGAACTGAATTTTGACAAAGAAAAGCAATGAAGTATATATAGAAAAGATAGTCTTTTCAATAAGTAGTGCTGGGACATATGAGCCACATACCCAATAAATAAATAAACAAACAAACAAATAAATAAATAACTGAGTTTGTGTCTCTATCTTACATCATATAGCAAAACTATGTCAAAATAGATCAGAAGCCATGTGCTTCCTTGTGGAAGGAAGAATGGGAAAAATATCTGTGACCATGGGGAAAGCGAAGATGTTTTAGATATGACACAAAAACATGATCCAGAAAAAGAAAAGAAATGGATAAATTGGAATTGATCAACTTTAAGTAATTCTGCTCTTCAAAAGATACTAAGAGGATAAAAACAAACCACAGACTGAGAGGAAGTGTTAGCAAATTATATATCTGATGAAGGAATTGCAGCCAGAATGTATTTATAACTTTTGAGTCTCAATTTTAAGAAAACAACCCAATTAAAAACAGGCAAAAGATTTGAGCAGATAGTTCATTAACGAAGATTTACAGTTGACAAATAGGCACATGGGAAGATGCACAACATTGTTGGTTTTTAGGGAAACACAAAATAAAACCATAGTGAGACAAATCTATTAGAATGGCTAAAGGTAAAAGAAAAAAGCATCACCATTTCAGTTGCTGCCGGAGATGTGAGGGAACTGGGACTTTTACATGCGGCTAGTGGGAATGTGAAATTAAACAGCCACTTTAAAACAGTTTGTCAGTTTCTTATACACTTAAATATATGCATATTATATGTTCTGTCCATTCCGTTCTCAGATTTTTATCCAAAAGAAACAAAAGTATATGTTTGAATAAGTATTTGTGCACAAGTATTTTAGCAGCTTTGATTGTAATAGCCAATACCTGGAAATAATTCAAGTGTCAGTACAGGTGAATAGACAAACATTCGCATTCTTTCATGGGCTACTACTTAGTAATATGAAGGGATGAACTATTGACTCATGGAACAACATGAATGAATCTCTTAAGTTTGCTGAGTGAAAGAAATCAGAGAAAAACTGTACAATGCTGCATTATTCCATTCATACAACTTTAGAATGCAAACTCGTCTATGGTGACCTAAAGAGCATGAATAAGTGTCTGGGAAGGGAGAATACAGAGGATTGTGGGAGGGGAGAATATGAAGGGGCCCAAGAAAGCTTTTTGGAGTGATGGATGTTCACGCTCTTCATTGGAATTTTTTCACAGGAGTAGACATGTCAACACTGATGAAATTCTACACTTGTAAACACATATAGTTTACTGTGTATCAGTTATAATTAAATAAAACTTAAAAAGCAGGATAAGGAATAATTATTTAAATTGTTATGATTTATAATGAATATTTTTCTGAGTACCTTTTTAAAAATAAAGTGATCAAAAAATAATGAAAACTTTAAAAAATGAACAGTTACCAACATTAAACTTAATAACTTTTCTTTATTTTAGGGCCCTCTGTCCTTAATTTTGGCGATGTTTGTGTGAACTCCATGAATACTCATCACCTGCATGTTGTTAATATGCTACCTAGGCATGTTTTGATCAAGTTAGATGTTAATTTGAAAGAACTTCAGAATACCAAACAATTTTCATATGTGATTCCACCTTCATCCAGTACTTATGTTTCAATAATATTTCAGACTCCCACCACTGGAAAATATTGGAAGTAGGGTTTATTTTCAAATTTCTATTTTCTATAATCAAAGTGTCCTACTGTAGAATATGTTTTTATTTGTCCCAATAATGTAGTACGTATTATATTTGATCCCCAAACATAGAAACTATATATGTACCAAGTTGTAGATTTATAGACTCCTATTTCTGTTATAGTCTGCCTTTCATTATTAGTTTGATGTGTTGCTTACTAAGAATCGTTTGTGGATGTTAGTCAGTTGTATATGCGTTTTTACGTGTAACTTAATTCTGTAATCGTAAATAGTTCTGATCACTTACATTTGGATACCTTTGTTGTGTTACAGGTCTTTCACCTTTACAGTGAACAATATACCTGGTGGGCACCTCCTAGTGATGGCCATTGTCATGCCAGTAAGACTTGAGCTATCTTCTAACGAGCTTGTGTTAAAACCACGTGGCTTCTTACTGCAAACATATTTTAGGGAGACGGTTAGGTTGTATAATCATCAGAATTATATTGTTTACTTTGAATGGATGCCACTAAGCACAAAAAAAGGAATAGCGTTTTCTATTTTTCCAGTAAAAGGTAATAGTTCATTCTATTTGTATCATTTAGATTCATTTATTCATATATTCAGGAATTAATCATTTATTGCATGTATATGGTATAATGGTGCTAAGATCATAGAAGTAAATCTGATAGGGTCATCTGGGTATTTATTTTTACATACATAAATCATATATAAATTTGGTTTAAAAATATGGATCCTGTGTTAGGATTCTCTAGAGAAATGGAACAATAGGAAATAAATATATATGCTTATATATGTAAATATATATATATGTGTACATATATATATGTTAGGGAGAGAGCAACATTAAGGAATTGGCTCATATGATTGTTTGGGCTGGCAAATTTAAAATCTCCAAGGCAAGCCTACAGGCTGGCAACTCAGGGAGGAATTGATGTTGCAGTCTTGAATCCAAAGGGACCTCAGTCTTTCCTTTAAGACTTTCAGTTTATTGGATGAGGCCCTACTGCATAGGAGAAGGTAATTTGCTTTATTCAAAGTCTCTTGATTTAACTGTTAATCACATCTGAAAAAATACCTGCACAGCAACACCTAGACTGATGTATGCCCAAACAACTAGGCATCATAGCTTGGCCAGGTTGACAAATAACATTAACTGTCACAGATACTGATGAACTCAGTATTTTTTTGTTTGTTTCTTTGTTTAGTTTTAGTTTGATGATGTTAAGATATGATTCAGAATGACTCAGATTTTGTTAGATTGGGAATTAGTTTACAAGGATCCACAAATTCTTTACAGTCAATATTTAATACGAGTGATAAAGCCTAACAAAATTAAGAACTTAAAACTGTCATTTAAATAAGAATTTTTAATTTATAGAAATAATCTGAGACTTACCATTTTTGGTGGTTCCTTGTATTTGTTAACTAACCTCTTAACCTTGCTTCTGCCATTTCCTGGAATTGGTAACTCCACATCATGTGCCTGTTACAAAACTGACCCCTGTTACCTGCTAACCTGTCACTTACTAGCAGCCTGTCAAATTTGGCAAACATCATTGCGATGTTGGGTGAGGAATTTCAGGAGGACACAAACTATCATTTAAAGAAGTCAAAAGACAGACTGATGAATACGGTATCTTTGTTTTACGTACATGTCCTGACTCTCCAGCTCCCTCCCTCTTTATCTCTTAACTTAGGAATAGTCTTCATTTGTGATCTAAATAGATTATATATCCGATCACAGAGGAATTCTAGTTTGTAGAAATCTTACCTTAGTTGTATTTTCTTCTATCAGTTTTTTTTCCAAATCATGACTTTTATATAACTCTACAGTGTTTGTAACAAAGAGCGCTATAAACAAGTTTAACTGTTAATCTAAATTCACCTAATTTTAGTGCAGATATAGGCAGAGATGTTGACATACTTAACAAGTGGAAGAGTCAGACTGCTCCTTCGCTGGGGTTGGAGATCATTAATATAGCCATATTTAACCTTTTATTAACCTGGATAGATTTAGCACAGTCCAGATTATTTATTAAACATTCAAGGTATACTCTCATTATTATTTAACAGATTCATTTGATCAAGCTCTTTTTTTTTGTTATTAATGCTGATAATATAGGGTCCTGCCTCAGCCAAGTGAAAAGCTGAGTGAAAAATCAGAAGGAGAAACTATTTCTGCACATTTCAGATTTTCAACATAAATCTTATCCAGTTTTTTTTGAACTGGTAGCAAGCAGTGCTAGTTACATTATCTGCACGTTAGCTACAGGGTTCTGATCAAGCACATGACATGGTGCTATGGGTGTCTGAAGGGCACAGTGCCCAGCATTTTTCCTTGTATTTCCCCATCATAACGAGGGCTGAATGGGCTGAACTTCACCCCTTGTGGCTACCATGGAAATGCAGTGATGATGCTAAATCTGTCAAAATAGAAGTGGTATTACAATATTGTAACCTGGAAACCAGTGATGATCTTTAGAACTTATTTGTAGAGGGGATATTTTAGAATTTTTATTTTCTTTGGGTTGCTTGTAACACCTCTTAGAATTTTTTTAAAAAAGGTTTTATTTATTTATTTTTAGAGAGAGAGAAGGGAGGGAGAAAGACAGGGAGAGAAACATCGGTGTGAAAGAGAAACATCCACTGGCTGCCTCTCGCACGTGCCCCATCCGGGGACCTGGTCCACAACCCAGGCGTGTGCCCTGACTTGGAATCAAACCAGTGACCTCTTACTTTGCAAGATGATGTCCAACCTAGACACACCATTCAGGGCAGAATTTTTTAAATGAAAGCACAAAAACACAATGACATTTAATTCCAAATAAAGTGTTTATAAGACTAATTCCATTAGTCTTTAAGTACCTTTAATCTTTTTAGAACACAAATGATACTCAAATCTAGTTCAGATAGCATCGAATAAAGTATGCATAATTTATATTATATACATAGATTTTTCTTGTGTCATTTTTCCTTTGATGTTCAGAATAAGTAATCACTCAATTTTGTTTTTGCTTCTTTGTATAAGTAGAAAATGAATTTTTGTTATTTTTCTTACATGCCTTTTGCTATATTGGATTTGCATCTCAGATAATACATTTAGTCATATCCCTTTGTATATTTTTGTAAACTAAAATGAATAGTTCTAAATTAAATTTTATGTTGTGATTACCCTTTCTTTCTGAAGTGTGATATATTTTGGATTTTTTTGGTTAGTGGATATTGTAAGGGAAGAATGTAAGAGTGGACTGGTGCTTCTTAAGATAGAATTGGCTTCTAATATGAGTTTTCATTAAGTATTGTTCATGTTCCTGCTTGTTTTGTTTTCATCCTTATAATCTTTAACCTTACTGATCCTTTGAGTCTGCTCTCTCAATTCTCTCCCTCTTTGACCATTTGTAATACTTGCCCTCCCAATCCCTCCCTTGGCCACTGTAGCCATTCAATTTATTTCCCCTGTTCAATTGTCTTCTTTAAAAATTGATCTCAGAGAGAGAGAGAGAGAGAGAGAGGAAGGGAGGCAGGTGGGGGGAGAGAGAGAGACATCAATTTATTGTTTCACTTATTTATGCATTTCATGGGCTGATTCTTGGATATGTCCTGACTGGGGATCAAACCCGCAACCTTGGCATATCAGGACAGCACTCTACCAACTGAGTTACCTGGCCTCAATTGTATATATAGTATTGAATCTTCTACATCCACGTTGCTTCCCATCACATTCTTCTCCACACACCAGTCTCTTCCAGCAGTGTCATTGGAGTTTTACATTCCCCCAGCGATGTCCTCCTCCACAGTTGCTGTTTCTTTCAGTCACGACTCCAATGACATTTTCAATGAGGTTTTCTTCACTTTCTTGGGCTAACTTAGACTCCCCTCCCCTTCTTTTCAGCTCCCACTGTGTATTTCTTTAATATTATCTACAGTTATTTGTTTCTGTATATCTCCTATTGTAGTAGATGTTGCTAAGCCCATATCTGATATCCATTCACCTTCCTAACAGGACTCTCATTTTGTTTAGGGAAACAGTGTTCCTTTCTAGAAATCTCTTTTCCCAAGCTTCTTGCCAGTGAGATGTGAACAGAAGTTTCTTTTACTTCCACCCCCCTTCTTTGTGCCAGGCACTGTTTGAAGTACTTCTATATATCTTACTTAATCCCCTACATAGATTCTCTGTGTTAGATACAGTTGTTATCCCCACTTTATGTATAAGGGAACCATGTGACTTACATATGTGAAGTAAATTGTCCAAGGTCTCAGTTAGTAAGTCACAGAGTTGAAATTTGAACCAGGGAGCCTGACTCTAGAAACTGTGCTCTTTTAACCACGATGCTGTGATACCTTTCTACACTGAGGAAGGCCACACAGTAAGGAATGGTAGCTTGGGAAGCTAGAGGGAGCATTGTTCTTGAAGGCCTTGTCAACTTGCTAAGGCAGCCCTGGAACACCTATTCATGGACTTCTAATTTTATAAGAGAAACAATCCCCTATCTGCCTAATACACTGTAGCACAACTTTCTGCTACTTATAGACAAATATAATCCTGATGGGCTCCCACTAGACTGTTAGTTCTTCCATGACCAGTTTCTATTCTTTTTATAAATTACTGTGCCTACTAAAGTATAGGCATTCAAGGGTATTAATAATACTACCTGGTACTGGGTGCCTTCTGGGCATCACACACTGTGTTAATTCCTTTGCATTTATAGTCATCTCTGTTCATGGTCACAGGAAGTAGGCACTATATCTTTTTTTATGATTGAGGAAACTGCCATCGTATGAGAGTCAACCTGACCCAAGGCAAAGTTGGTGATGCTCACTATCTCCTTGTTCATTGTCCATTGTCTTTGTCTCTCAGATTATCCTCTCTTCAAGAAGGAGGAACTTCCTCTCGGCATGAAGGAGGAACTTCCTCTCGTCATGAAGGAAGAACTTCTGAGTTATCCTTTCCATGAAGCATTAATTTCTTACTTTAAAGGAAATGATGAATTTAAACAGATAAAGCAGCTCACACTGAATGTGGTGCCTGATACCTTCTGGGTTTTTGGTACATTTGAATTATGGAAATGTGTTGATTACTCATAGCTGTATCAGAAGTTACATTTCTAGGGATGTGAACATTTAAAAGAAAATGAAAACTCCCCCTGAAAACTGAATGAGTTCTGATGTTAATAAGTATTTCAAGAGTGTTGGGAATCATGGAGGGGACCCTTCCTTTTTCAAGGATCACAAATGGTTTTCAACTGTGTGTGTATAAAGTAATCTCTAATGCTAGAGTGTTTGCTTCATTGATAAATTTCTATTTTTGGCTAAATATTGGCATATTGGCATATTTTTGTGAAATATTCTCACCTGCCTATTAAAATTAGAAAACAAGGTAAGCATTTTAGATTTTAATCAAACTCTATAGGTATTTGATAATTGCTTACTTAGTATTTTCCTATATTTTAAGTTTAATTGAAATATTTTTATATAATATCATATTTGTATGCCAGCCCTTAGTTTGGATATTAAAAAATAAATATAATTAAAATGTGAAACTGTCTTATTCTCTGTAAATCCTTTGTAGGCACTGTTGAACCATTCTCTTCATTGGAATGTGAAGTAACATGGCATCCGGGCTTTAGTTCTCCAGAAACGGGAGGATTTATTCTTCACGTTGATGAAGGAAACACACTGACACTAAAATGTGTTGTAAAAGTAATGATTTCCCTTGAATATGATTTTTATTTTGAGGGCCCTATCCTATATTGGTTGGGTATAAATATGCGTGTAGAGTAGTTGGATATGTATACTATGTTAGTAAACATTGATTTTGCATGCAGTACTTAGTTAACTAAATTATCCTAGCGTCTTTTTCGAGCCACTTGTCTACATAAAGGAAGACTTTGCTTAAAAAAAATGTGTTATCTAGAATTAATTTATATATCCAAGACTTTTGTGCCAACAATACTAGATTGTTATTAGAGCCTGTATAAATATGTATTACCATGGGAGCCATTTGAAATTAAGTTATTTCATTAATAGACACCAAAGAAAAATAGAAAAAGTTATATTTTTGCCTTCCTGTGTTGCATTTTTAGTGTTCTAGTAGTAATTAATATTTAGTATGAAATGGATCATGTAATTTACATAGCAATGAAATATGGAAAATTCTTATTTTTATAGAATCTACTTCTTGTACTAAAAATGTAAGAGAAGCGAAAGCTGCCCTATATAATTTTGACTTTACATAGAGCCCAGAAGGTCTTAACTTCATGCCTCTTAATCAGTAATAAACCACTTGTGCACCAAATTTCCCTCCCAATATTCTTAGTAATTTAACACAAGCCAAATGCTGTTTTACTAAATCCCATCTCTGTCTCCATGCCATGATCATGCTCTTATGTAGTTTAGCTATGAAGGAGCTTATAGCCTTAAGAGATAAGAGATTCATCTATTTTAACGATGACAAGTGGCAGTCCGACATCAGTAGCGTGTTTCCACTGCTCCAGGCTTAAAATAAGCCAGGTCCTGCTGCTTTCCCTGTTTTGTGTTTGGCAAGTTTACTAATATAAATTTGCCCACATACCCATCCCTTGTGTGTTTTTTCTGACATATAAAAGATGAGCAGGTTAGTAATGTAGACTTGGCATTAATAATGGGTATCATTTATTGAGTAATTACAGTGTTAGGCATGATATTAAATGCTGTCCATGTATTATTTATTTTAATCCTCATGACAACTCTGTAGGTATGTACTAATAACTCAATTGATGGGTGAGAAAATGGAGGATTTGAGTGGTTAATTTAACTACTACAAGTTTATACATACAGTAAGTGCCCTAGCTGGAATTTATATTCTGATCTCTCTGTCTCCAGTGTTTGCTGTTACCCTCTGATAAATTTTGCGTTTCCCCTTTTCTGCACTAGGATTGGTTAATAATTAAACTTTGAGAGATGAGAATGATAAATTAGATTCTTTTTGGTAAATTTGTGAAGCCCTTAAAGTTCAAAGGACTGTGAGGTGTAGCTCTTAAGAAAGTAAAAATGGAGCAACATGAAGTGATTGAATAAAATGTTCAAGATTGTCATTAATTTATTAAGGACTTGACCATTTCCTCTTCTCTTAGCTTTGTTTGAAAATTATTGTTCCAATTACCCATGCCAAAGAATTATAACAATATACTAAAGTCTCCTATGATAAAAAGAAATAGTGTATCATAGATAAGGACGATAGTGTGTGGCATTAAGAGCAGTGAACGAGGAATTGGAAAATGGGTTGTAGTTGCCCTTGGCTATAGTTTGTTTTCCTGTAAAATGAGAGAGGTGGATAATATCAACATTTCCAAAAAGTGTTTTCTGATGCACTAGTTCTGTGAAATGATTTGTGTAGGATACGGTGAGGGAGTCCTGCACCTGAGTGATGCTATGAATCACAGTAAACACCCTCCCCATTCTCAGATAAGCTAAATGTACATGATCAGCATATTAGGTGCTACAAGAAGACTTCTACTAGAAACACGCCTGGACCCTCTCATTTGGCACATTATTTCCCATACTTTGGTGACCCTAGAATTCTTTCCTTTTGCATAGCACAGGGTAACACTGTACATTGTTGGGTAGATTCTCTCTTACATCTCCTTCAATTATTAATCTATTTAAATACGTGATTCTCAATCCTGGATTTACTTCCTCCATAGAGTTATCTCATTCTCCCTGCCTTTCTCCATTTAGGAGTGTAATTTAAATATTCCATTCTATTTCCCTTTCTCTTAAGCACACCATAAAATCTGGTAACACCTCAGGGGAATTTTAGAAATTCCCACGAAGCTGAAAAAAATTGGAGTTATCTGGTGGGGATTAAAAAAAGTGTTTACTGCTATTCAATTGCATTTTCCTTTCCTTCTTTTATTTTAAGGTGGGTAGCGCCAAGGTTTTATCTTTGGAGTCAAAAATACTCTTTTATGATAGCCCTCAAGGTTTGACAACTTGGAAGAAAGTTATTCTTCAAAATGTGGGACAAAACCATGCTTTTTACAAGGTGATGTAAAATCTTTGTATCTTACTTAGATCAAATGGCATTATAATTTGAATTAATTTGTTGCTATGAACATTATGGCATTAATATTTTAGTCTTTATAAATTTACTAATGCTAATTTTGAGATATTTCATATGAGATTTATCTGAGTACATTTTATCTACTTTGTTCTTTTGATTTTTTGTGAAATTCATTTCTCTCTCCCTTCTTTTCTTAGTTAGTCTCTCCCTATCTTCTCCTCTTACCCTCTTTTGTCTTTCTGTTATTTTGATATGTTGAAAAAAGATAAGTGATTTGAAGAAAACAATGTTTAAAAATATAATAAAAATATACATTGTTGATATTACATTCCATATTTAATGGTATGCTTTTCCTTTTCTCCTCTATAATCAGGACTTTTATGGTAGCAAGTGGAACCCAGATCTAACCATTCTAAAGATGCTATATTCACAATTTCTCCTGATTTAAATTGCACGTTGCAGGAAGCGGGGGTGGGGAGAAGTGTTTAAAGTGGTGATAGGGTTTTCTTTTTAACTGAAAAAAATCTATTTAGATCTCCCTGTAGTGACAATGGAAGTTAGCATTTGAGATCTTTTCATTCCAGCTTTTATTTACATGTCATCTTCTCTCCTAATAAGCAAGTGAGGATACCCTTTTCTACTCTGCTTCTTCAGAATTAGGTCTGTAGGCTCTTTGTTCCCTCATCCCCCAAAATATATTAATTTCCAATCTCCCTTTAAATGTTGAATTTTCCTTTAAATTATTCTGGTTTAAAGGATGGTAGATAAGGCTAAATTGCTCTCTGACAAACCACACCATAAAACCTTATGCTAAGTTCCTTTTCTGAATGTCAACACGATACCTCAGGCCCAGGGGTATCCAACCTTTTGGCATCTCTGGGCCACATGTTAAATACATTGCGACACGTAATCACACAAAAAATCTCATAATGTTTTAAGTAAATTTACGATTCTGGGTTGGGCCACATTCACAGCCTCCCTGGGCAGCATGCGGGTTGTGGGCTGCGGGTTGGACAATCCTGCTTAGACGTTAGGCTGTCAAGGAAATAACAAAGAAGAGGAGGTTTGCTTTGTCATCTTGCCTCCCCACTAACTTTGCCTTCAGTTTTTATGATCAGGGAAAAGACAAACTATTGATGCAGTATTGAGATCTTTGGCATCTTCCCTAAGAGAGAGATTTCATCCTTGTAAACTTTGTCGTCTTGAAAACACTTCAGATAATAAACTTCATCCTTTCTTTTCGAATTAGAAGTCACCACTACTGAATGTTCTGTTTGCTGGTTTTGGGGTGCAAATCCTTGTTGAAGTTCAAGCTATGTGGGCATGTGGTGTTTGAAAATTGATTACAGAATCATCTCATGCCTGTGCCTAGGAGTTCTCTCTCTAGGTAATAGTTTGGAAGCTTTTCTATGAAAGCTTTGGGAGAGTAACTTTAAAGAATAATGAACAGCAAAACAAAACAAAACAAAAAAAAACCAGTCTTGTAGAAAGTGACCAAAGTGACGGTGACCAAAAGGGAGGAGGTGGGTGAAATGGAGGGGAAGGGGGATGTAGTCAATAATATTGTGAGACATTTGCGTGTGATAAATTATTACTAGAATTAATGGGGTGATCACATTGTAAGTTATAAAAGTGTTGAATCACTATATTGTACATGTGAAACTAATAAAACAAATATAAGATATACCAACTATACTTAAATTACAAAGAAAAGATAATAGAGCATTTTCTGCAAATTTTCAATTACAGGTTTGCAAAAAGAGTCTTTTGCCTACGATTGATATTGTTCCACCGGAAGGAATAATTCCGTTTGGGGGGCTGACTTCTCTTTATATGTCCTTTACACCTTCCGCGACAGATAAATTTGAAACAAAAGCAAAGGTATGTTTATACATATGTTTCCCTGCATGATATATATGTCTATGTGGATTTGTTTGGTTGTTTAAGCTATTTGTAGTGGTAGGTATAATGCTACAACATGTTGTGAACATGTTTATTTTTAGAAAGCTTGTTTTAATGATTTCTAATGAAAATGTGTTTTAATGATAGGATGGTAAAAAGTATTTTAAAAAATTTCTATTATTTTTTTAGCAATTGAGTTAGCTGTAATGAAGTGCAGATTTTAGCAGTCTAAAAGAGAAGCAACCTTACCTATATTATCTATTATAAAAATGACTAGCAGAACTTGGCAAGAGGATTTGTAGAAAATATTTTAGGTAGAAGCTGGTAATGGAAATTTGTACTAAATTAAAATTAATGCCTTTTATCAATATGAGGCATTTTTCACATGAAATTGGATTTATATTTCATATCTCTAACTTGTGACAAGTCCTCACTAGTCACAGAGCCAAGGATATTTTTCATGGAGTTAATTAGGTACCTTAGGAAAAATAATCAATTTTGGAATGCTAGTTCTCAATAACTTTAATGACTGTATGAATTATAGGCAAATTCTATATGATGTTCACATCTGTATTTTATAGCACACGTCAATTGTTTTACTGTTTTATGTTCTAGGAATTATGTAAATGAAAAGATATTACCTTGATTTTAGGGACTTCTCTCTGTTCATTAAATAGAAGAAATAAAACATGTAAGACCAGTCTGTAACAAATTTTATTTATTATAAACTCATGGACTAAAATACTCTTGATCTTCAGTTTGATGATCAACTGTGTGCATTTACTCACATGAAAAAATTAATATGTACACTGTCATCAGATCAAAATCAATAGCTTTAGATGTATCCCCCTCTTTATCCTTTTCAATTTCCCATAACAATTTTAAAATTATATGTAGCTTAACATAATACACACCAGTTTGCCTGGCCCCCAAATAAATAACCTAAGAATTGTATCTTCTTTAGAGAAATATGTATTGAAACATGTTTTATAAATTGTATGTTGTGGTATATGGTCTGAGATTTGGGCAGAACTTTTTTTTACATAGTATTCTAAAAGAAGTTGAAAAATATAGCCACTAAAGTACAGATTTTACTAAAAGATCAATTTCTGCTGTATTTTAGAGGAGTATGCTGTTTTTACAAAGCTTACCTTTTTAACAGCATAACACAATGAAATTCACTTATTCATTCATTCAACACAGTCTCTCTTGTAGATGCTAGAGATGCAAAATCAACCAAGGAATTATACACCTAAATTCTTATTTCACTATCTTAATTTTCCTGGAAACAGTTGAGTGTTCAGAAATTTCTTGGTTCACGTTTCATGCTGCTGCTTTCAAGTTTTGTGACCCCAACAAAAAGATAAATTACTTGGCCTCTCTAAGCCTTAGTTTTCCTCACTTGGAAATTATATTATCAATAGTAGTAACCTCACAGAATACTGAGGATTAGAAAGAAGATAATGAATTTAGCTCCATACTTGGCCCATATACTCAGCACTTTTTAGCTGCTCTCGTTTTAGTGGTGGATATTAGTATCCTTCTGTGGAAAGAAGTTTGTATGCACTCAGTTTCCTGTTTGTTTTAAGTTTAATAATCCAATGAGATTAAGTAAATACAAAAGGGCCACAGAGAGTTTGAGGCAATAAGGTCCATTCAAATGGGTAGAATTCACAAGCTGTCAGCCGGTCCTACTTGTGGTGGACGGTTTTTAAGAGTTGAACACTCACTCACTCCTCTTCGGAATATCAGTTCTGCGTAATAAGAAATGTGCTAACAACCGCGAGAAAAAAATCTTGTGACGTTTGTAGTATGTTATGCTTATTTAAATTATAAAATGTTACATAGATGCCAGGTAATACTTCAGCAGTGTATGAGTATATTTTAATGGGGTTTCTACAGAGTTTTCTATTTCTCCTAAATATTAGATTGCTATTCGCTATGGAAATGACATAAGCCTCAGGGTTGCTGGAAGTGCTGAAGTCGCTGATGTTGAAATCAAACCGGTGAGTGTGTTACCTATTTGTGTATTCAGTTTATGACCATGGTGATTTTCATTTGCTGTATGTCCCTAGTCAGTCCATTAATGTTTAAAAATTTTATTACATAGTAATTTGACCCAGAGGTTAATAAATATAATGTACATAAATAATGAAGCAGAATATTAAATAAAGGTTTAAGAATTCACCACTAAACTTAAGTATCACTACCAGTACCATTCAATCATCTGTAGGCTTCATCACTACCTTACTGCTTTTAAGAGAGAACCCCTTTCCTTAATTTTGTGATTATTACACCTTTACTTTTTTCTTACTGGGTTACTACATGTGTATGAATTCCTTAACCATTCATTGCTTGATTTAATTTTTCATTTTTGAGCTTTATAACAAAGATGTAAAGTCTTTGGTGTGTTGCTTTTAATTAAAGTGTTTCCAAAGTTTACCTAAGTTGTGTGGAGTTGCATTTTATTCTTTATCATCACTCTTTAATAGTTCATTATGTAGACACACTATAATTTATAGACTCATTCTGTTGGCCATAAATTAGGTGTTTCTGCTTTTTTGTTATTAGAAAGAGTATACCTACGAGCATTCATATACATACCTTCTGAGATACTTATGCAAGAGTTAATTTGGAGTGGAATTGCTGGGAAATTGAATGTATGCATGTTTGACTTCACAAGATAATTTCCATTTTTTTCTTCTCAAGATTTTATTGATCCACATTCCACTGCTCTGTACATTGTATTGTAAGACAATGTTTGTCAATCTATGGAATATATAAAATGATATCTCACTGTGGTTTTGATTTGCATTTTCTGAGAATTCTAATTCTACTTCTTTTTTTTTTTTTTTGGTCTGTATCCTGATAAAATGTTTTTCTGTAATTTATAGAGTGCACACACACATATGCTTTTTTGGGGGGCGGGGAGAATTAGATCTGCTCTCATCTTCCCAGAGAAACTTATCCTGATCCTTCACAGCAGACCCGTATGCCTCTCTATTATGACATTTATAAGACGTTACAGACATATTCAACTCTGGGAACATTTTAATTATAGCAATTGCCATATTACGTTCTGGTCATCTGCACTTTCCTTTTTCTCTTTCAATAGTACCCCACCACCTGTCACCATTCTGACGCTTAGGCAGACTGAGCAGAAATTGATGATGCTGCTGGTTGCCTCAGGCAGACCTTACTACTAGTCTGCACTTTAATGGCAACGCCACAGTTTTAGGATACCACTTTAAGTTATGATTTTCTAAACTTTATTTTGCTCAGTATTGAAGGAATTAGAAGTCCACATGGACTGAGAGAAATGAAGCTAGCTAGTCGAAGACTATGGTACCTTCCTGGAGATGAAACCCTGGAGTATTAGAGTGCTTTTTCCATTGCTGTGGTGTCTGTCCCTCCTTGAACAATATGAGACAAGTATTGAGACTTCTGCTACTTTCTTTCCTCATCCTAAAGACATTTGTGGCAGGCTTTTTAGGTTGTGGTGCAACTGAGTAATTTATAGGAGATTACATTGATAGGTATTTATTATTTCCTAATTATGTGGGACTTTAAACATAGCTGTTTGGCTGCCCTTAAAAACAATATTCTAATATTACCAGGTATTGTCAGCAATACATTTCACATGTGTGTGGCATTGACTGTGTATCTTAGTCACAATTAGGAGATTTTATCTAAATGAGCAAATGGACAAGGCCAGAATGGGATAAGAGGAATAATTTTTTATATATACAAAGCACCAAACTTTCATTACCCATTTTGGATTTTACAGATTTCATCTGTACAACTGGGTTGATATTTTAAGTGAAACAAACAGTGGCCAGTTGACCTTACTGAATTATTTTCCTTAACTTTAGGATACTGTTAACCTCTTTCTCTTTTAATGTTATATGTAATTCTTTTTATTATTATTATTTTTATTGTTGTTCAATTGCAGCTGTCCTCATTTCCCCCCCATTACTCTCCCCTGTCCTACCTACCCCCCACCTCCCACATTCAGTCCTCCCTGTGCCCTGTTGTCCTTGTCCATGGGTCCTTTATACGTGTTCCTTGACTTGACCCTTCCCTTTCTTTCCCCTGTTTTCCCCCTCTCCCCTCCCCTCTGGTTACTGTCAGCTTGTTCTTTTTTTCCATGTCTCCGGTTCAATTTTGCTCACTCATTTGTTTTGTTGATTAAGTTCCATTTATAGGTGAGATCATATGGCATTTGTCTTTTGCCACCTGGCTTATTTCACTTAGCATAATGCTCTCCAGTTCCATCCATGCTGTCGTGATGGGTAGGAATTTCTTCTTCCTTTCTGCTGCATAGTAGTCCATTGTGTAAATGTACCACAGTGTTTGCTTCCAGCACATGGCTTTTGTAAATAGTGATGCTATGAGCATTGGGGTGCGTAGGTTCTTTTGAATTGGTGTTTCTGGATTCTTAGGGTATAATCCCAGCAGTGTAATTGCCAGGTCAGAAGGCAGTTCCATTTTTAGTTTTTTGCAGAAATTCCATACTGTTTTCCACAGTGGCTGCACCAGTCTGCATTCCCACCAACAGTGGACTAGGGTTCCCTTTTCTCCACAACCTCGCCAGCATTTGTTGTTTGTTGATTTGTTTATGATGGCCATTCTGACCAATGTGAAGTGGTATCTCATTGTGGTTTTAATTTGCAGCTCTCTGATGACTAGTGATGCTGAGCATCCTTTCATATGTCTCTGGGCCATCTGTATGTCCTCCTTGGAGAGGTGTCTGTTCAGGTCCTTTGCCCATTTTTTAATCGGATTGTTTGTCTTCTTTTACTAAGGAACTGTAGGGTATATATAGTATCTCCCCCAGAAGGATGGATTCTATAGAGTTTTGTTTTATAGGCACCTTCTGACATGTAAGGTCAAGTTAAGATATCTTCAATTCCTTACATATTTAGGTTAAGCATCAATTGCTAGGGATTCAAAATGAATTAGGCTTAAGGTACACTAAATAAATGGACTTTGGGATGGTGTAATGTAAGTAAATATTAGGAATAGAAGTAGTCTTATCTAACTGGGGATTAAAGGATGCATAATATTTTATCAGGCAATTATAAGTTAGCAAAAGGCCTTCAGGACAGAGACACCTTTATAAAGATACAGAAAGGTGAAACATTAGGTATTGGTTGGAGATGACAAGTCATAGAGCTTGCAGCAGTGTGAAGTGATAGGGTGAGAATGAAGCTAGGTGAACCTAGAACATGAGGCAGAGGAAGGTCATGGTGAACTTTGTGAACACTGCTAATGAACTTGAACACTCTCCTGTAGATGGAGGAGAATCATCAAATTTTAAGACATGAAGCAGTGTGGTCAAATTTTCAGTGAGCTTAATTGTGACTTAGTTTTTGAGGAGAGAATTGGAGGAAGTCGGAATCTAGAAATGAAATGAAAAGTGATGAGTTACTAAGTTCATACAGTTACACTAATGATAAGAAGTGAAGAAGGAGGCAGAATTAATGGTATTTGTTAACTGATTACATATAGGAGGTGGGGGAGGAAGAAAAATGTGACTAATTTTTATATAGTATTCTAGTTAATGTCTTTGGTGAACATAATAGTATAATTTTTATTAAGGTAGAATGGACATATAACACTATGTTCATTTCAGGTGTACAACATAATGATTTCATTTGTATATGTTGCAAAATGATTACCACAATAACTCTATTTAGAATCTGTCACCAAACATAGTTACATTGTTTTTAAGATCTACTCTCTTACAGTATAATTTTTAGTTTATATTATTCTCATAAACTATTACACAACTTTCTCATTATCTTTTTAATTTTTAGAACGTATTTTTCTTCAGTGGAACCTTTGTTGGTGGTACCCAGACTATTCCATTTTTAGTAAGAAACAAAACTATAACACGTGTCAGGGTGGAGTTTAATCTAGAAGGCCATCAACATTTTTCAATGAAGTTTAAAAAAAGATCAGGTATATATTTTATACTACAATGATATTATTGTAAAAGTAAAACAGTTTTAAGTTGCTCAAAGGTATAATGTTAAAAAATACTGTAAATCAAGGGCAATTATTCTTAGCTATTTTTAATGATTCAATGCATGTTTTTCTTATTGATGTACATATTCATTGATTTAATATAATAAGTTAGGTATGTTATGTATAAGGATATACTATAAATGAAAATAAAATTATTAATTTCTAATTTTAATTGCTCATGGATTTCAGATAAATGTCCTTGGAAAGCTCTCTCTATATGTCTCTTCATGTATTAGGTATTTTTATGTTAAGTTTTTAAAAATATGCACTTTTATAAGTGCATCTCATTTGTTTGCTCCAGGGGTTGTCGTATTAAGACCTGTAGGCCAAATCTGGCCTGACACCTGCATTTATAAATAAAGTTTTATTAGAACACATACACACTTATTTGTATTTTGTCTATGGCTTCATCCCTGGTATAACTGTAGAATTGAGTAGTTGTGACAGAAACCATGTGGCTTGCAAAACCTAAAATATTTACTATTTGGACCCTTATTAAAAAATTTGTTAAGCATTGGTTGAGTCATTTCTTCTTCAATAAATATTTGTTGAATACCAATTATAGGCCAGATACTACACTTTGAGTCTATAAAGATAATAAAATATCTTACATTTTCTCAAGAAATGAACAGTAAGTTTGTTAGTCAAGGCCTCATTAGTAAACAGATGATTCACTAAAAGGGCTTAAGTGATGAGGGTTTAATGAAGGAATTATCTATGGAGGTGGTACCCAGGTTCAAAGAAACCAACAAGGGATGAAAGCTGCTACTATTTCTGGGTCCGAAGGAGCAAGAGGAGGCAGGATATTGTTGGAGCCCTGTGAGTGGTGAAACTATGAAAGATGGGCCCACTTTAAAAGCTCCAGCTCTAAAGGAATGCAGCCATTGCCAGAAATGTAGCCAAAGCAGTGCACACGTGAGGGCATAAATCCCCCTTACCCATTCATATCCTGCTGGTGTCTTCCTGTGGTTGAACCAAAGCAGAGGCAGAGGTGCAAGGGGGCCTAGCTGAATCGGCCTGTGGAGGTCAGGCCAGAGCAGAACAGAGCAGAGAAAGATGGCTATTAGAGCTAGGTGACAAATGGAGACCGCCTATAACAGTAGGTGAGGAGGATAAAGAATGCCATTATTGCCATACAGCACGGTAGATACTATAAGACAGGTCAGTGCGTGATGCCACGGGAGCATGTACTAGGGAAAACTAGCCAAGAATCAGCAATAAGGAAAGGTATTATGGAAAATTTGATGTGTAATTTTGAAGAATGAGGAGGAGATACAGAAGAAAAGAGGATATGTGAAGGACTGCAAATAAAAGCCTAGAGATGAGCCAGGATGGAAATAGTTCAGGATATCTACAGTATGGAGGCCAGGACTGAAGGGAGAGTGAGACTGAGGTTACTAAGGGTTTAGATATTAGCACCATTAAAGGATGTACATCCATGCAATGGTGTGAGTAGGCTCACACTTCATTAGTTTTCCTTTTGGGAAGGGGGAGAAAGGCTCTAACTTGGTTACCAAGTGGACATGGGTATTAGGGAAGAGGAGGAAGTGTCGAATCACTCCTGGGTTTTGATTCTAAGAGGCAGGTGACTAGAGGTACACTTCATAGTTGAGGTAACGCAGGAGGAGCAGGTTTAGGTAAGCATCCTGTGTCTGAGGAGACTGGAATAGCCCAGAATGGTAACAGTAGGCAGTAGGAAATAAATATGTTATCTATATTCATTTTTTCAAAATAAAATCTAGATGTTGAAACTTTTATGGTTTTAACACTTCACTCTCACTGACTGGCCCATATACTTTTATGTGCCTTGTTCGGTAGATCACAGACTCTCCTTGGTTATTCTGCAGAGCTACTCTGTCTGCAAAGTGCCTTTCTCTCCATGATTCTGCTAGCTCTAGCTCAAGCCTCCCGTCTAGGCCACTGCATCATCTTTTCAGATGCTTTCTCTGCCTCCAAACCTTTCTCCTCAGACTTATCCCACAGTTTCCTCAAAGCAGAGATCTTCTCACACCTCTGCTTAAAAAGCTTTGCTGCTTCCCAGTTACCAATAGCAGTGTTTCTCACCAGCCTGCTGCTGATACGGCCTAACGAAGTATGGAAGCTGATCTTAATAATTAACAATTTGCAGTAAAGTTTATACTTAAAATGCCCTGAAGATATATCTGATTATCATAAATATTTGAACACATAAATGCCCTTTGTTGGCAAATTAGACTTGGTTCTTTACATGATAGCTTCAGGATCATTTTATAATGACTTAACAGGAGAGGAATGGTGGAGATCCATTTGGGTGTGACATCATTTTGTCTTCCCAGTCACCTGTCCCGCCACCAGATTCTCTTCTGTGTTTCTTCCCAATGGCACTGGGCTTCCCTTCCAGGATGTTTCCTCTTCTTCTGTCCCTGCTGCCTGAGATCCTGCCTTTTATAGTAAATTAGCTTCAATCTCCTGTGTCCTATGGATCACTAGTCCCATTCCTCACCCCTGTCCAGTTTTTTGAAATTATTTTAAAAATATTTTCTCCCTTAGGACATTGTGTACTTTTATTATAGAACTAACCAATGTCCGCCTTGTATTAAAAAGGGCTGTGTACCTGTTTGTCTCCCCTAGTATACTGTGAGCTCCATGGGATTAAGGACTATATTTATACTTCTTGTTTTCTGTTAGCGTTGTCCAGTACAGTGCTGTGCACACTGTTGGCACTCAAGAAATATTTATTGAAACTATCTTGGATTATTGTATTTCATAAACTATATGTTTTGTATACTCCAAATATATTTATGAATATTGATTTACTTATCAATTTGTGTTATGTCTTCTATGTTCCAGACATACATCCATTCTATGTGGATATTCTTTGCTGTATAATATCTGCATCTTTTCCCATAGCACTGACAATGTTTGTATTATATAAACATAATGGATTTTTTGTTCATTTGTTTAATGGTTTTTACATTATATATCAAGGTGAGTGAAATTGAGTAGGATGAAGGAGGGTGGAATGAAGTTATTGAAGTTCATTTCTGGATAGGGATAATTAAAATTATTGTCATTGCTTGGCATAATTTGAAAACTTTAGGGAGAAAAGAGAGTTTTAAAACTTGTCTAGATGAGTACAGAGGTTCTACTCTAACCTTTGATCTTTCAGGAAATGGTTTTAGATGTTAATTTAAGTGGTTATGATTTTTGAACGTGAAGTTTGCATTGCTATTGGACATTTGTTTCTGTATCATCACACAGTGCTTTTTTTTTTTCCTTTTTAATCTGGAGTTACTCCATTTTGTCAAAATGTTTTCATGTATAAAATTGTGTTTCTCTTCTTTGTGGACTCTTCAAGGCATCAGAGGAGGTCTAAATCTTCCCTGCTCTGTCTTTGCTGGAAAGGGTGTCTCCCAGCTTTCTCAGACCCAAGATTCTGTCAGTTATATAAATTTGACCTTTATTCCTTTCTACATTCATCTGAATAGGACTGTGATGTGTTTTTCCTGTTGAATGTATGTCTGCTCCATGTTTAGATATTAGTTTTGCTGATTAGAGTTTTGGTATTTAGAGCAATTCTTTACCTCAGCAGCCCTGCACAGATATTAGAGCAACTGCTTTTTTTGATTGCTATGAACACATTGATGGGGTTTCTCAGTGTTGCATTTCCACATTTAACAATGGTGTTATAGATATGTATCTGGCTTCTTTTACATATACTTTTTCCTTTCGTACAGGGAACTACACAGACCCTTCATTTCCTAAGCTGTATTATGTAGAGTTAGAGGGAAAGAAATCTACGGAAGGTGGCATGATATTTTCGCCCGATGAAGTAAGTTCAAGTTTCAATTACTGACATTACTGGGGAGTGGTGGAATTACAGATAATGGTAACCAAGAAGCTATCACAGATCACCTAAGCTCTTTTGGTAGTAGGTTTTTCTCACTTGTGAGCATGCCTGGGTGTACCCTTTAATTGAGTAAAATCACTGCTAGAGGTGTCTGGCTCATGCTTGTTGAGTGTCTCAAGCAGCGCACAGGACACACCCAAGGAAACCATGGTCTTGTTGCCCCAGTTATACTGTCTAGAAAACTCAAGAGACAACATGTATGAAGGGGAGGCAAGTTGGGGCTAACCCCAAAATCACTTATATTTGAGCCAGTGTGTCCTTTATACTTATGTTTAAGGTGGAGTATGCTTAATGGTCTTGGAATCACTACCTGAAATTACTATAGATGCGCTACGAAGATTTAGGAGGAGTTACTATGATACTGGTTCCTTTTACAGTGCACCTTGTGTTTAGCGATTTAAAAACCACAACATCAATAGTAAACAAACTATCCTAGAAAACGCCTTTCCTGGAATGCACTTAGGGAGGAAAGGATAGCACTGGCAAAATTTCAGGGAAAATTTCTAGTATATTTTTCCCTCAGAGGTTCTGTGAGAGAAGTGCCAAGGAGAGAGCTTCTCTCTGCCCATGTTAGTGAAGGCATTGTGCTACCTCTTCCCAAACAAGAATCAAACTTCTATATGGCAATTAGAATCTAGAACTATGTCAAAACATTTTTTTTTTTGGTATTCCAACATGACTAGCATGATGCCTTCCTTGTATCCAATATGAACAGAATGAACTAAGTAAAAATAATTAATAACACAGTAAGAAAGGGTATTGAATGCTAAGTGCTATCTTTAATAGTCTATTTATTAATGATGGTACTGAACTAAGTGAAAATAATTAATAGCACAATAAGAAAGGGTATTAAATGCAAAGTGCTATCTTTAATAGTTTATATATTAATAATGATACTCAACTGCATAGTTTACTGAGATTGAAATTTTCTTTTAGGAACAATAATAGCTTTATTTAGCTTTTAGGAAGAAAGAGTAAAGAAACTTTGAGGACATTTTAAGTTTTAGGAAAATGCTAAGGATAATTTTGTCTTCCTAAGTACAATACAGTAGTTGGGCTCTGTTTTGTGGGCTCTGTGCATGAATGATTCCCATGGAATGATATTGCCTACAGAGTTCACTCCTGTGTGTGTTCTAGTTTTAGCATAAAGGATGAAGTAGCAAAGGCTACTTTTCTGACATTAAAGAAAATGAAAATTTTTGTATCTTATACACAACATTAAGTGTGATAAGATGTATACTATACTATATTCACCATAGGCTTTTTGTAAAATAATTACTCATGTACATTAATGAACAGTGTTATTTAAATAGATACTGTTTAGCAAGTTTTCAAGAAGAGAGAGAACATCTTTGCTGTTTTGAAAATCATCTAACGAATATTTTTTGGCTTAATATAGGCTATCACAATACAAATATTATTTAGGTTTTCTTTTAACCATTTCAGCAAGGATTTTAAAGTGCATGAAATACCATTGGGGTATTACAATTATTTATTGAATAATACAGTCTCTAATTTGTCTTTCTAATTTAGAAAAAGCGTAATTAAATTATTTGAAGATATTCAGAGGATTTTTTAAAATTTTTCCAGTATTCCAGTATCTTTTAAAGCCTCCTCAAGTCTTACATACCCTAACCAATTGCAAATTTTGCCTGCAACAACTTATATTGTAATCTTGCATATCGATGACATTCTCTTCCTGATTATTAAAGTTTATAGCTAAAATTAAATGGGAAGTTTAGAAAAGCAGACAGAACATATAAACAAATAAACTATAATACTTTACAGTGGCTCCTGGTTGTATTTTGGGGTGTCTCTGTTTTTCCCACTTCCTCTATCTGTGTACCTATATTTCTACAGCTATCATTGTAATGAAATAATACTTTATGAACTATTTTCAACCTATATTTTTATTACATTTATCAATTCAAATGTTATGAATTGCTTTTTGTGTCATTAAGTATTCTAAATACAATTTATTATTTTAGGGATGAATATTATATTTTATGGCTATGCTATGAGTAGTTACTTAACTAATCCTTCTTACTGTACACTTAAGATTATTGCATTTTTTTGTTTCTATAAATGATACTGTAACAGACATCCTTGTAGACAAAGGTTTGCTTTCACATTGTGTGTTTTCATTATATTTTTGTAGGAGTTGAATAGTTGGGTCAAACTATGCACATATTTTAGGCTGTTGATATGTATTGCCAAGTTGCTTCCAGAAAGGTTATGCCAGTTATATTATCCACCAGTAAAAATGTAAAAAGGTTGTTCATTGTCTTCTTTCTTTGTACAATGAGAGTGCATCAATTATATATGTATGCTTATATAAAGTTCAGTCAGTTTGATAGGTGAAAGATGCATTTTTACTTGCATTTCTCTGATTCTTTTTGTATAACAAACCGCCCTACCACAGTAATGATTCATTTGCTAGTAATTTGGCCCTGTTTGAACTGCTAAAATTCTGTTAACTCTCTGGTAGGATAAGTAGTCTCTGTTCTTTTCTTCCAAAGGTAATTAGCCATTTTTTTGTTTTATTTTTTCTGATAAATCCAGAATCATTTCACAAGTTTATGCCTAGAAGTTCTATGGGTGTTTGATTTGTGTTGCCTTAAATTAAAATTTAGAGAGAAGTGATTTTTCTATAAAACTGAGCTTTCTACTCAGAAATGAGATATGCCTCTTATTTTGTGAAAGCATTTTATGCTCCTCAGCAAAGTTCAGGTTTTATCTATTTTTATGTTCTTCTATATGTTGAAAACAAATGATATTGATGTGGTATAAAACTGCCTATTTTACTTTAAACTTTACGTTTAATTATCATTCAATTTGTTTTAGATTTTTCAGGAATACTCTTGTAGACTGCAAATATGATTGTTTATCTCTTCCATTTAATAATTATAAATTTTACCTATTTTTAATAATACATTGTATAGAATTTTGAGAACAAGGTCAAATTATTATTTTTGGCTTATCTTATTCCTGATTTTCTGTGAAGCAATATAGTGTTTTAAGTCTATGTTGGGAAATACCTCTCTAGTACTAATTTAACACAAATTTTAACCCTGAATATATGTAAATTTTTAAATCTAGTTATATACCTATATGCCACAAATCATAATATTCAAAGGAGGAGAAAACATATATTCTAGTTCAACATTATATTTGTAGCATTAGTATATTTTTTAGAACACATCAAGCAGTTGATAAGTATCAATTCAATGAATGAATTAAGTTGCAGTGAATAAACCTGTATATTAACTTCTGGAGAACTTGTTCTCTTGTTTCTTTTGGATACTTCAAATGGGAATTGACAAGGAAAAGGGTATGTGCATTTTAGTTATTGGTACATATCAATATATCCAAATTGCTACCACAAAACTTTTATCAATTTATAATTCTATTAGTAGTCACCGTTCAGAAATATTTATTAGGCAGCTGTCAGATATCCTGCATTATTCTTGACCTTGGGGTTGTAGTGGAAAGCTTATATGTTACTATGGCACCATGCTCTCTTTTCTTCTTTACTATGGGCATTATTGTTTGCTAATATAAAAGACACATGACAGAAGTCCAATATATTTATTTTTCTTTTGTCACTGGTGCTTTTTGGTTTTATATCAAAGAACCTATTATCTAACCCAAATCGTGAAGATTTCTGTGTTTGCTTTAAGAGTTTTATAGTATTAGCTCTTACATTTAGCCTATGATCCATTTTGAGTTTTGTTTGTGTGTGGTATGAGGTAAATGGCCGCCTTTATTCTTTTGCAAGTGATGTCCTTTTCTCCCAGGACTGTTTATTGAAAAGATTACGTTACCCCATTAAATTCTCTTGGCACTCTTGTCTAAAATCAAGTAAACATAGATATAACAGTTTGTCTCTGGACTTTCAATTCTATTCAATAGATATATGTCTGTCCTTATTCCAGTAACACAATGTCTTCATTACTATAGCTTTGTAGTAATTTTTGAAATTGGAAAATGTGAATTCATCAGTTTTATTTGCCTTCAATTATATTTTTGGCTCATTTGTGTTCCATGAATTTCCATAAAAATTTATTTTAGGATTACCTTGTCATTTACTGCAAAAAATCCAGCAGGGAATTTGATATAATTGATAAAACATCTGTAGATCTATTTGAGGAGTACTGCCATTTTAACAATATTAAGTCTTTTTATAATCCATGAAAATAGACTATTTTTTCATTTATCTAGGTCTTCTTTAACAATGTTTTATAGTTTTCAGTGTATAAATTTCCCATTTCTTTATTAATTTCTTTGTAAATAATTACTTTTGATGCTATTGTAAATGGAATTATTTTATCTTATTTTCAAATTTTTCATGCCAAGTGTATAGAAAACTCAGTTTTAAATATTGATCTAGTATTGTGCAAGCATGTCGAACTTATTCATTAGTTCTAGAAGTCTGTTAGTAGATTCCCTAGAATTTTCTATATACAAAAACATGCCACCCTGGCTGGCGTCACTCAGTGGGTTGGGCATTGTCCTGGAAGACAAATGGTCTGAGTTCAGTTCTGGTTGGGGATGTGCAAGAGGCAACCAGTCGATGTTTCTGCCTCACATTGATGTTTCTCTCCCTCTCTTTCTTCCTCCCTTCCCCTCTCTCTAAAAATAAATTCACGAAATCTTAAAAAAAAAGAGAGAGAGAGAGGGAACATGCCATCCGCCAATTAGGGTGCTCTTTAATTTCTACTGCCTGAATTTTAGAACCTCCAGTACAAAATTGAGTGTAAGTAGTGAGTGAGAGCAAATATTTTATCTTTTTCCTTATTTTACAGGAAAGTGTCCTTTTACTTTTAAATTTGGTGCTAGCAATGTTGGGTTGTTTTTTTTTTTTCTGTAGATTTCCTGTATCGGGTTGAGGAAATGCTCTTCTTTTTCTAGTTGAGTACGTT